TATCAGATTCTTCCTCTACTACTCACCACCTTAGTTACTGAGACAGTGTCTCCCCCTAAACACAGATCTCAAGAACTGGCTAGGCTGGCTGGCCAGAGAGCTCCAGGTATGTGCCTGTCTCCATCCACCTAGCACAGGGTTACAAATAAGCCACTAAGCTCAGCTTTGATGTGGTGCTGGGGATCCAAACTCAGGTCCTCATGAGTGCCCAGTAAGCACTTTACTCAGCTATCTCCCCAGGCCCTAAGACACCTCTTAGCATCAATATTCTCAAGTCAAAACTAAAATCTTTACTTTCTAAAACTAAAAACAGCTCAATTCCAATTTGACTCATTTTTCAAAAATCACAAGTTCTTTCTCCAGAAAAATACTCAAAATCAAACAGTTGTGGGTTGGAGAAATGGCTTAGCAGTTAAGAGCACTGACTGCTTTTGCACAAGACCCAGGTTCAATACCCAGCACTCATATGGTGGCTAACAACTGTCTGTAACTCTGGTTACAGAGGATCTGATCCCCTCTTCTGACCTCTGAGGGCATTGCATGACACAGTGCTCTTACATACATGCAGGCAATACACTCATATACATAAAATAAAAATAATAATTTTTTTTTTTAATTTAAAAAGAAAACGGCTTGGTGATTCCTCCAAGTCACCATGTGACCTTTCTAGTTATACATCATCTACCTGAAACCTAGAACAAATTTACCTGAAAATTGCACACAAATGTTTATGAAAGCCAAAAAGTGGACATAAAAATCAAATGTCTACCAACTACTGAATCAATAAAACGTGATATATTTATAAAATGGAATATTATTCAACTATAAAAGAGATCATATGCAATACAGATGAACTTGGAAACATGTTAAATGAAAGAAATCAGATACAAAAGTCCAAATAATACATGAGTCCACTTAATGACTGTCTCTAGTAGGGAAACCTACAGAAACAGAAAAGTAGAACAGTGGCTGCATGGTGCTACAGAGAAGGGGCCAACTGGATATGACCAGTAACAGGCCAAATGTTTCTGGAATCACAAAAACTTTCTGATATTAGACAGTGGTAACAGTTTTACAACCTTGTGAATATATCAAAGCTCACTAACCCTTTAATGAGTGCACACTAAATGTTTACTATTTCTTTGCTAATGAGGTGTTGTTTCATAGACAACTAAAATCATAGAAGTAAATGAATTCTCAGGGAGAAAAAACAAAGATATTCTTTAACCAGAAGGTTCCCAAACTGAGCAACCAGTCCAGAACACATCATGAAAACTAAGACAGTGCAGTTTCAAATTAAAGCGAACTATATTACTAATATATTTAGATAAAATATACTTATGATAAATACTATTTAAATGAAAATAAGAAACAGTGAACATCAAACATACATACAAAGCAAAAACAAAAGATATTTATAATAAATACTACTTAAATGAGAAACTGAACACCAAACATAAATAGAAAGCAAAACAAGGGCCAGGTGTGGTGGCACATGCTTTTAATCCTAGCATTCTGGAGGCAGAAGCTAACAGATGGCTGAGAGGAGGCCAGCCTGAAATGGTCTACATAGGAAGTTCAAGGTCAGCTGGGGCTACATATGGGACTCTGTTCAGCCCCCTTAGGCGCAAAAAAGCACCTAAGTTATACGTAACTTGTGAACAAGTTTCAAGAACTTGGAAAATATAATAGAAAATATAATAAAATATATTTTATATTTATTATAATATAAAATAGTAATATTTTATATTATAATAAATATAATATAAAATACAATATAATAGAGTCACAGGGGGTCTACACCATACCTACTTCCCTGTATATGGCAGGAAAAGAAAAACTTAAAATATGATAACTATAGGGCATTCTCACCAAGGGACTTATATCTTATCCAAATTTAGCAATAAGACAAAGGATTCAGAGTAAAAGAAAGGGAGTCAAAAAATATTAAAGTAGGAGATGTTAGGGAACAAGAACCTAGGTAAGGCCAAGGAAGAAAAGAACATGAACAGAGATGTTCTTCCACATTCAAGTTTCTTATCCAGGCTCATTCTACCAGTGTACAAATCATCTAATGTAATAATCTGGGGGGGGGGTTGTTTTGTTTTTTAACTTCTTCTCTTTCATTGTTCTTCTATGAATAGCATGAAATTTAGTGAAAGGGCTCTTTACAAGTGAAGCCAACCTGGGATTGAACCTGCCCTCTATCACTTACACAACTGAAAAATCAAGAGGTGAGTAATGGGGAAGAGAGGAACCTATACAATATTAGCCAAAAAGGATCTGTATATCTGTAATTTTATATTGGCTTGAATGCTAATTAATAGAATTCAAATAACAAGCTTAATTCAGCACCTAAGATATAAATCTAAAAGAGTGTTCTTTTTGTACATTTTTTTGGTTTGTTTGATATTTGTTTTTGCTTTTGAAGGTTGGCAGTTCTTTGGTTAGTTGCAGCTTTTGTTTTATCTTGTTTTTAGGTTTTTGAGTCTCAGGGAACCCTGTTCCTAGTATTCATAAGAACCTAGCTTTGATATCTATCTAGCACCATCAGAAAGACAAACAAAAACCAATTATATGTTATATAAATTTGTCTAAAAATTACTTTGTAATCTATGCAACATTAACAAACTATTTCTTTTTTAAAATTTTTATTTCTTTTAAAAATTCTATGTATATTAAGTATTTTGCCTGCATGGACCACATGTATGCAATGCCCACAGAGGACAGAAGAGGACATCAGATCCAAGTTACAGATGGTTGTTAACCCCCATGTGGATGCTAGGATTTGAACCCAGGTCTTCTGCAAGAGCAGCAAGTGGTCTTAACTGCTGAGTCATCTTTCTAGTCCCCTGACTTTATTTCTTGCAAAATACTGTCAGCATTGCTCTGAATGAATAGTGCTAATGGTTTCACTTCGTCAGAAGTACCATTTTTATCTATTGGTAAAGTCACATCTTATGCTGCCCTCACTTCATATCAGAATTTTCAAAGGAAAGAGTTGTTACTCCAACTACTTACAAGTTATTTTAATACTGGAAATAGAAATTTGGTTTCTGACCTTTGCACACTTTCTCATACTGCTGTATGGCTTCATCCATTTTCTGATTACTTAACTGCTCCTAAAAAAATTTGAAAATACAAATTAAAGGCAAACCAAATACTTAACAATATTTAATAGAGGGTCTTTAAAACAGGACTAAAAGCCAGATGTGGTGGCACAAGCCTTTAATCCCAATACTTGGGAGGCAGAGGCAGGTGGAACTTTGTGAGTTAGAGACTAGCCTGGTCTACATATGCGCTCTAGGTCAACCAGTGCTACATGGTGAGACCCTATCTCAAAAGAATAAATAAATATGGGGCTGGAAAGATGGCTCAGAGGTTAAGAGCACAGGCTATTGTTACAGAAGACCTGGGTTCAAATCCTAGCACCCACATGGGGGCTAACAACCATCTGTAACTCCAGTTCCAGAGGATCTGATGCCCTCTTCAAACCTCTGTGGGCACTGTACAACATGGGTGCACTTACATGCATGCAGGCAATACACTCATACACATAAAATAAAAATAAACTATTTTGTAAATTTAAAAACAGAAAATTTTTAAAAATACACTTTTAATCTTGGTTATGACACTTATTTTATGTGCTCAATTATTTTAGGAAAATGTTCTCCCTCATTTCAAAAATACAAGAACAACTGAAAATGGACATTTACTACAAATTTAGTGGAGAAATAAAAAAGAACAATATAAAGTTCCCTATTATTAAACACAAAATGTAGAGAAAATACAGACCTCTATCTAAAAAGTAGTTGTAAAATCTGGAAAAAGTAGAGTATTAAGGAACAAGATTACATTACGGGGCTGGGGGAGCCCCACAATTCCAATTTTAACATATCAGGCAATCACGACTGCACTTGCCAATCTCATCTAAACCCATCACAACTTCTAAAATATATGTCCTAGGATGAATCTCTACAGAACCTGGAGATTTCTGAGTCTCATTATGAAAGGACTGATCGTCTAACTAAGATTATATTTTAAGAATAAAAACGATGTTTATACCTGGAGTCATTGGTTGCTTCTCTTCAAAACAGAAATGAAAGGAACACGACAAATCCACACTTCTTAGTATTGCTTTATGCACTTATGTCAAGTGCAATATTGTCTATGATTAAACTTTTCAAGTTTCTTTTTATTACTTGTTACATAAGGAAGGTCTAAGCTACTTTATTATTTTTACTTCTTTTTAAAAAAAAATATTTTATTATTTTTATTTTATGGGTATGAGTGTATTGCCTGCCTGTGTGTTAAGTGTACCCATGTCATGCAATGCCCGTGGAGGTCAGAAGAAGGCATCAGATTCCCCTGGAACTGGAGTTATGGATGGTTGTTAGCCACCATGTGGGTGCTCGGAATTGAACACGGGTCCTCTGTAAGAGCAGTCAGTGCTCTTAACCGCTGAGCCATTTCTCCAGCCCCAATTTTTAATTTAAAATAAATTTCTCTTAGAAAAGATATGAAAAGACAGCTACTTTCCCTGATGTCACATTACCTGATAATTTAATCAAAAATCAAGAAATACATATTGGCATACTACTGTTAATAGAGACTTCAGTATATAATATTCTAGTTTTTCCACTGGCTTTTTTCTCTTCTAGGATTCTACCCAGGATACAACACTGCATGTGATAATGGTGTCTCCTTAAGTTTTCTCAAATCTGTGACAATGCTTGTGAGGTACTGAGTACAACGACTTCAGCTTAGAATTACTTATGTTTATCATAAATAGAACATGTTTATAAATTTTAGAAAAGAATATCAAACATAACGTGCCCTCTGATCTCATTAAATCAGAAATTACATAGAATCATTGTAATTTACTACTGCTGACAATGTTATTCACACCTAGTTTAGAAGCTAATATGCTAAGATTCTCCACTATAAAGTTACTATTTTTTCTGTTCTGTGTTTGTTCATTAGAAGCAAGTCAACTGAACTGATAGTTTATAATTTTTCAATATTAAAAAACAATTTATGCTGGAAGGAGGGAAGGGGATGTTAGCTAAGTGGTAAAGCACTTGCTTAGCACGTGAAATGCCTGCATAAAGGAACAGAAAGGAACGGATGAAAACAGAATTCATAATTAAAACCTAACAATACCATGGGACAGTGATTCATGCCTCTAATCCCAACAATGGAGAGGCTGAGGCAGGAGGATTACCATGAGTTCCAGGAAAGCATGGAACTACATAGTAAGTACAAACCAGGCTGCACTACAGTATAAGACTGTGTCAATTTATAAAAAGGAGAAACTATGAGCAGGGTCTGGTGGCTTGAGAGGCTATAGCAGAAGAACTGCCATGAATTCAATACCTATCTACGCTACAAAGTAAAACCCTGTCTCAAAATTACAGAACGAAGATATTAAATAAAATGAATGAATAAATACATTTCAATGAGGCAATAAAATCTAACAACAGGATGGACTTAAAACATTAAAAACATAACTGCTACCTTGAGTTGCTGGATGGTTCGCTGTTTCATATCTATTTCCTGAGAACATTGGTTTTTCTTTTTCTCTAGTTCATTAATTTTAATCCTCAGTAATTTTTCTTCATCACGCATTATAGATACCTACACAGCAAAATTTAGAAGCAAACTGAACACTTTCGAACTGTTTTTGTGTTGCTTACAATTTATGGCCACTTCTTCAAAGATTCATGCCCCTTAATACCCATCAGAAAATGTATAATGATGCTATAAACTATAATAAAATGTATAAATATATTTACCTTATATATGTAAATATATATACACACAAATTTTATTTATTTATATTCATTCATTATTTAGGCTTTTTGAAACAAGGTCTCCTGGTAGCCCCAGCTAGCCTAGAACCTGCTATGTAGACAGGGCTGACTTTGATCTCAGAGATCCATCTGCATCTGCCTCCTGAGTGCTGGGATTAAAGGCACAATGGCACCATGCCCAGCTAAAAGTACATGTATTAAGTAAGAAAGAATCAAATTTTTTCCCTCTGTTCCAAGCATGCTTTCTCTAACATGGGCTTCTTACTGTCTCCACAGCCCATCTCTCCACTAAGTAGCTGCCTGTCACCACACTGCTGACCTCTATGCAGGCCTACTCAAGCAGCATGGCTTCTTTGCCTTTTCTCCATTTTCCTCCTCTCAGTAGTAGCAGCCAAGATTTACAGCTTCCCTGCCCTGGCATTTGTCTTTTAAACTAATAAAACTGTTCTTGATCTTCAAAAACTAAAAGTTCATAAGATGTTTTCATTGTTTATAGAAAGAAATACAAACTCGGCAGCAGGAAGGAAAAACAGGCAAGAGAATAACTAGTACCATTTCAGCCTTCAAGGAAATTTGACTGGGAGAAATTGGAAGGATTTATTTTCTCCTTAAATATTTCTTTGCACATTTCACGGGTGGAATTATGTAACTGAATTCCTTAATTTAAAATTACACTAGTTAGTCAGGTGTGGTAGCACACGCCTTTAATCCTAGCACTTAGGAGGCAGAGGCAGGTGGATATTTGTGAGATCAAGGCTAGCCTGGTCTACATAGCAAGCTCCAGATCAGCTGGGGCTACTGGGAGACCCTGTCTCAAAAAAGAACAATTAAATAAATACATAAATACATACATACATAAATATTACACTGGCTTATAGCCAAACCACCCTGAATATGCCCAATCTGGTCTAAGGTTAATTAATAATGAAAAGTTGTTAATATAAAAGTCACACTGCATACTTTCCTAAACACTACCTGCAAACAAATGGAGGGAACTTGACTATTGCAGTCTTTAAGAAAAACAAGATTCCAGTGCTATATAAAGTACATACATCCTTGAGCAAAGGATTTCTTGCCTACAGCAGGCAGAAAGCACAGAAATCATATTCGAAGACATGATTTTCACACACTTTTCTTAAGGTTGTCCTTTTTATTTAAGCTAGCTGAATTTATTCTTCGAAATTAAAAATACTCATCATTTTAAGAAAAATTCTTAAGTTCATGAATGTTCTGTTAATCCTAAAATCAATGTCTAAACTTGATACCTAAGGGAGACAATCTTTACCGCACTAAACTGGCCATACAACTTTTCATACAACCTACCTCTTTCTGTACCTGCTCGATCTGCTTTTTGGCATCAGCAAGTTTCTCTTTCAGCTCAGCATAATCTTCTTCCTTCCTCTTAAGATCTACTTTGAGATTCTGAATAACAACAGAGCTTGTAGAGAGCTCCTCTTTCAATCTAAAGAATTCAAAAAACACCTCTATAGTGAGACATCAACTACTTAGGATCACTATGTGAACTGGTTAGCAGTCTTTACAGAATTACGTCTTTTCACACATGCAGACTATGCAGACTACAAATGAGCATTCAGAGGATGTCATGTGAGTTCTTATAAGAACAATCTTAGCATATAACATGTTTCTAAAAGTATATATGAACAAAGTTCAAGTTTCTCACTCATCATGTACTTTATGCTTTTCCAGATTAAGCTATGCCTATCTAATACCTTTAAAAGTACACAGAAAAGGGGCTGTAGAGATGGCTCAGCAGTTAAGAGCACTGACTGCTCTTGCAGAGGACCCGGGTTCAATTCCCAGCACCCATATGGTGGCTACGAACCATCCTTAACTCCAGTTCCAGGGGAATCCAAAGCCCTCTTCTGACCTCTGCGGCATGGCACAACATGGGTACACTCACATACATGCAGGCAATGCACTCATACACATTAAAAAAAAAGTACATAGAAAAATGAATGCTTGGAGCCAGTGAGAAGGTGAGAAGGTTGAGTAGGCAGGCACCCTTGCTGTCAAGCCTGATGACCTGTGTTCGACTCCTGGGGCTTACATGGTAGTGGCAGAAGCTATGTCCCATGGGTTGTCCTCTGACCTCCCCACCCATGTGGACACATGAGAAGAGATGCATATGAGTGCATATACACATTAAAAAAATGTAAATAAAATGATATGTTGCATATTTTTAAACAGGTTAAGATTTAGCTTACTTTTCTGTTTCTTGTCTGTTGGCTTCTTTTTCTTCTTCCTTTAACTGAAGTAAATGTTTCATATTTCCCAAATTATTTGACAACTGTGTGATTTCTTCTTTCAATTTGATTTCCTGTTCATTTAAATCTCTGGTGTTTTTTATGTGATCCTGGTAATTTGCTTGAAATTCCTTCAGGCTTTCTTCTAGTTTTAAGATAATAGATTCCTTTTCTAAAATGTCTTGCTCTAATTTGGTTAAGTGCTTACAATCATCTTTCTGAGTCTCTAACGTCATTTCAAGTTCCTTTATTTTTTCCTTATAGCTAGTAATACCTTGGGTAAGTTCTGAAAGAGCTTGCTTTCCTTCAACTACAAGTTGTACTTGAACTTCAAGACTATTGTTTTTTTCTTGCAGTTCCTCTTTTAGCTGCTGTATGAGACTTTCTCTTTCTTTTAGTTGGTCATCTTTCTTCTCACCTTCTCTCTCCTTTACTTTTAGTTCACTGTTTTCATCCTGATAGTCTTTTAGTTCCACCTGTAATTTTTCAATTTGCTGTTCCAGTTCCTGAATTTGGTGAGTTTTTCTGGATGAGGCCTTCACAATCTCCTTACATTCTTCCCAAATGGCTTCAATACTAGAATAGAAATAGCTTTCCCTATTGAGTTTCTGAATATGATAGTCTTCAACCCCATCACTTGACATCAAATTATTATATGAAACTTGTAGTGGTGGATCCAGCACATTAGCCTCCTTAGAACCATTTGATAGGTCCTGGAGACTGAGAGAATCAATGTTTGAGATCTGAGAAACTGAATCAAGTGAACGTAGTTCATCTATTTTTGTTTGCATTAATTTGATTTGTGCAACACTGTTCGTGATTCTTCTTGTAGCAGTTTCTATTTCCTTGGACAATTTCATGATCTTTTCCTCCTGTTCTTGATTTACACCTTTCTGCACATGTAAATCAGCAATTGCACGGTCATAATTTGACTGGATTTGTTGGACCTCTATATTTAGAGCTGAATTCTTTTCCTCAAAACAGCAAAGTTCCTGCTGTAAACTAACAACCTGTTTATTTAATTCTGCTTTTACCTTCTTCTCACTTTTGAGTTCATTCTCTGCACTAAGTAAAAGTGTTTTTAGCTCTTCATTATTTTCTTGTAAAATTCTAATGTCTTCCCCATCTTCTGAAATGGTCTCTTGCATTTCTTCACTTTTCTTTTGTTCTTTGGTGGTAAGTGGATTAGTAAGTCCTTTAAAAGCAAAATACTGGTATTACTGTTATTCTAATAAACCAATAAGAAAACGAAGAAGTTACCATATAAGCCAATATCCAAATACAAGAAACATCAAAGTAAAGTTTTAATGAAAAACTAAAAGGAACTGAAGAGATGGCTCAATGGTTAAGAGTAAACACTGGCTGCTACTGCAGATGACTCAGGTTATCTCACTTCCTAGCACTCACAGAGTGGATAACAATCACCAGTAACTCCAGTTCCAAGAGATCAGATGCCCGTTCCTGGCCATTACAGGCATTATATACATTCATTTTAAAGAGTATACCTCCAGATAAGACAGAGTTAACAAAAGCAGTCCAACGAAATAATAGCAACTACTTTTGGGTGGTATTAGCCAGCTATTTTTTTTCTAAATTATTTTTATGTGTATGTGTGTATTGCCTGCATGTATGTAAGTGCACCCATGTCGTGCAATGCCCACGGAGGTCAGAAGCGGTTGTCAAATCCCCTGTGACTGGAGTTACAGACAGTTGTTGCCTGCCATGTGGGTGCTGGGATTCGAACCTGGGTCTTCTACAAGAACAACTAGTGTTCTTAACCGCTGAGCCATCTCTCCAGCCCCTTAACCAGCTATTTCTATTTACTTTCTGAAACTTCCAGTATTCCGTCTTTAAATTTTACTCTATAAAACTTTCTCTATCGTCACATGAGACAATAAGACAGGGAATTACAGTCTAGGCAATAATATCCTAAAGAACAATATCAAAGTAAAATTATAGTGTGGATTTTACTATGTTAGTGATTTATAAATTGAGTACCTTAACGTTTTTCACAGCTAAAAGCACGGGAGAAATGGCTGAAATTCTCAGAAGTCGTATAAAACCAGAAGTTACATGATATAGCCTTACCTTTCACTAACTCATCAGTAAACTGCTGAATTCTGATTGTTTTCTTAAGTAGAAAATGGAAATAGTTCTAAACCACCTATCTCATAGTTGTGAAGATTAAGATGAACACTGTGCTTTAGATATGAACAGCTATTAGTAGAATCTGAAAAACTGTACAGAAGGGCTCAAATACTTAAAAATGAATTTAAGGCTTCTTTGAAGGCTCAATATCTACATTTCTAGAAAAAGGGTATCTCTCCTGCACCTTACTCTAAAGCTAGTGGTAAGAGGCTCAAATAAGAGGTTCAGTTTGTAAAGTACTTGTCATGCAAGCATGAGGACCTGAGTTTGATCCTTAGCACCCATATTAAACGCCTGATGACATGTGCTTGTAATCTAAGCACTGGGAAAGCAGAGACAGGAGCTCAGCTTTAGGTCTTTGGTATTTGATCCATTTGAAGCTGACATGTGTGCAAAGTTAGAGATAAGGATCTAATCCTACCCCTAACCTACTGCCTCAGCATACCCAGGACTAGGATCACAGCATGCACGATCATCCAGCTAACAATTTCACTTTCCTAAAAGCTTCCGAGCTTAATTTGGTAGTTTTCTTTATACTTCCAATTTATATTTTCCTAATTATTTCTCCGAGATTCAGAGTTTATTCTAAGGATTCCATTTACTCTGAAATAATAAGGATTTATACTTTTTCATTTTTTCATACAAATTTGTCCACTGATAGGTATTAAAAAAAAATTCCAACTTATGTAGTATTTTTCAGACTATCTTCTAGAATCTTAAAACCATCTTAAGTACATTTTTTTGTTTAGTAAATTTGACTCAAAACTGTTCAAATGAATAAAAAATGCAAATTGAAGAAAAGTATACAGATTTTGACAAAAATATGCACTCTATTTATGAAAGAGATTTTTACCTATCAAAAGCACTGAATCAGCGAACTATTAGACAAAATAATTAAAGCTCAGTATCTAAAACCTGATTCAAATAAATGACAGTTTTAAATATATACATCCTCTAGATAGTTTATAAAAATCTAAAATAGAAATCATAGTATTTAGCTTTTCTTCAGTGTTTTCCTTAGTCAAGTAACCCATTATTGCTTTCTTAAGAACTTCCTGGTAGCAGCTGAAATATTAGTACCTTTCTTTATTGGGGGTTCATCTTCAGGTTCATCTTCATTTAATCTTTTTCTTTCTGAACAGGTTTCAGGTCTGCTGTTCCTAGGTATTTCAATGGCTTCATTACAAGCTGATTTACTGTTGATTAAGGCTGTATGAGCCTAAAGCAAAACAATTAAAACTTATTCCCATATAGAAAACCACAATAAATGTTAACTATATATATGTGTATACACAAATACATTTTTTTTTTATATATAAAACCTCTCATCAGTGTGTTCTCAAATTTGATGAAACATTTTTGCAAGCTGTTTCTTAAACTTCACCTTAAGATAACTGATGGCTCTAGTGACTGAGTACCATTTGAAGATAACTAAAGAGTCCTAAGATCCATATACCAGACTGATCAACAAAGCAATGTCCAGTCTTTAAAAATAAAACAAAAAGAACAAAATGTGCTTTGAAAAGACAAAGCCACGCGTGGAACTGGCAAAAACTGTATCACACGCATACACACGTGCATGTACATACACTCATTTTTATTAATCTGTATAAGTCCACTCATCTAGCATAGTACTTAGTAGACAGCAGATGGTGTTTCTTACCTGAACAAAGTCATTTTTGTTTATCATCTTTATGTTTCCACCTTATTAGAGAGCATTTCTCTAAGATCAGATTCAAAAAGTCAGAAAACTAGAACATATCAAATACTTAAAGATTTCTATTGGAGTTAAGATGGAGAGTGAACTATCCCCGCAATATCAAAAGCCCATCCAGGCTAACATGCACCACAGTGGTACAAAGTTTGCCTAGGATGTGTAAGGTTCTGGGTTCCACCTTTAAAAACAAAACACCTCCTGCTCAGATAATTCAGAAAATGATGGTGGGTGCTGAGTAAGCTTTTCTGTTAAACTACAAAGGAGCCTGAGCAGTTGTTTGAGATGACACTCTTACATGTTCTGGTCATTAAAAGATACACAAAAGCGTTTTTAGACAAAGCAGACATGCTTGGCTATTAATTTACTCAGGATATCATGCTATTACTATATGTCTTAACACATACATATCAAAATTTTTTATTTTTAAATTTTTATTTTATGTGCATGAGTGTTTTGTCTGCATGTGTATAAGTGCACCTGTGCATGTAATGCCCATGGAGGCCAGAAGATTCCCATGGAACTGGAGTTACAGCTAGTTTGTTAGCTGCCATGTGAGTCCTAGAAACTGAATCCAGATCCTCTGTAAGAACAGTCAGTGATCTTAATGGCTGAGTCATCTCTCTAGCCCCCTTAAAAAATAATTTAATAGCTATAAGAAAAAAAAAAAAAGATTAGAGCTGGTGAGAAGGCTCAGCAGGTTAGGGCACTTGCCAAATCAGACCACATGACTTCAATCCCCAGGGCTCACTTGGTAGAACGAAAAGAACAACCCCTACAAATTGTCCTCTGACCGACACACACACACCGTGGCACACATGTGCCCATACTCACATACATGCAAACACAAGCACATACACACACACAATCATAAACACACACAATAAATAATTTTTAAAAGACAAATTTTATCCTCTCCTGAACCAAATGAATACGAAATTGCCTAAATTTGTATTTATGGAAGACTAAAAATCCTCAAGGACTTTAAAGGTAATAACATTCATATTTTTATTTTATTTTATTTTGGGGGGGGGTCTTTTGAGGCAGGGTCTCTCTGTAGCCCCAGCTAGCCTAGAATTCACTATGTAGACCAGGCTGGCCTTGAACTCAGATCAGCCCGAGCCTGCCTCTGCCTCTGGGGTACTGGGATTAAAGGCATGTGCCATCACACCCAGCCTTAAAGGTATATAACTCTTTAAAGAAAACATCCTTGTATTCAACTATGAACAAAAGCAATACATATAATAAAAACAGTGTTTAAGGAAAAATAATTCTACTTAATTTTATGTTTTAATTTCCTGGATCAGAACCATCTACCATTATCTAAGTACATCTAAGTTCTTTCTCCTCAGAGATCCCTTTCCAACTAGCAGAGGTGGAAACTTGCAGTGTTCTCACATTATTATCTCTGATATACAAAATATTGCTAGCACAGTGTGATAGGTGTTAGGTTCAGAGAGATCAAATGCCCTCTTTTAAGTTCGCATCAATTCATATTTATGCAATAATAAACTGATTTCAATGCCATGATAAGCAATTTACCCTTCCTAATCAAGTAAGTTTTAGATACATAACCAATTTAAATTATGTCACTTTGAACAAAAACATAAACTTCCTTATCTAATAAGCTACTTTATAAAGCTCTTATGCTACTTTAAAATAAATAAAAATTAAAAAGACGTGTGTTTGTACATTTGCCTGTGTAGGAAAGAGAAGCAGTACAGCAAATTAGTTAAGACGAAACTAGAACCAGTCTTGTTGGGTTTATACCTTAGCTCTTCCTACCTTTAAATACATCATCCTAGAAAAGTTATTTATCTCTATAAAAATGTTTTAACATAAGACAGGCATGGGGGCACAAGCCTGTAATCTTAGCACTTGAAAAGTGGAGGAAGGAAGGTCTTCCTAGTCCACATTCAGTTGGAGGTTAGTCTGGCCTACATGAACCCTGACTCAAATGAATAAACAAATAAATGACCCAGCTGCATGTGAGGTTTAAATGAGTTAATAATATAAAAACACTTAAAAGAATACCTGGAAGACTGGAAGACAGTACTCTATAAATATAAATATATATAAAGCAAACCAAAAAGTCAAATCAATCAACTTGATTTTCTGGGATTCCCCACCCCCCCTTAAATTAGGAAGATTATGAGGGCTTTATTTTCAATTTTACCTTGTTTAATATCATTTAATTTGTATATCTAGTACTATTTCCTTCTTTTTTTTTTTGGTTTTTTTTTTAGACAGAGTCTCCCTGTAGCCCCAGCTGGCCTAGAACTCACTATGTAGACCAGGCTGGCCTTGAACTCATGAGAGTTCTGCCTGGCTCTGCCTCCAGAACACTGGGATTAAAGGCGTATGCCACCACACCCAGCTAACTAGTATTATCTTCAATACCAAAATAAAGTATAAGAGGAGTTATCTAAAATCACTGCAATATCTGCAAAGTATGTTATTTTTGACTATTTACTTACTAGGTATGATATCCTGAATTAGATACACCTAATCATAATTAGGCCTTTTTTTTTTTTTTTTTTTTTTTTTTTTTTTTTTTTGAGTCTCCCTGTAGCCCCAGCTGTCCTGGAACTCACTAGGTAGACTAGGCTGGTCTTGAACTCACAGAGATAACGCCTGCCCCTGCCTCCCAAGTGCTGGGATTAAAGGCATGTGCCACCACGCCCAGCTATTTGGCTATTTTAAAGGATAAATTTAAATTAACAAGACCTGTGTCAGAGATGAAAAGGAGAGATAACAAGTTTTGAGCTTTCAATTCTCTTTACCTTCATATATACCTGCAATTTCACCAGACGTGGTGGCGCACGCCTTTAATCCCAGCACTTGGGAGGCAGAGGCAGACAGATCTCTGTGAGTTCAAGGCCAGTCTGGTCTACATAGTGAGTTCCAGGACAGCTGGGGCTACAGGGAGACCATCTCAAAAAGACCAAAGGGGGGGGGGGGATTACTTGCAAGTTCATGTTTAGACCTTCAGCATCAAATCCACCTATAACCACTACAGGGGATTATCTAATCTAAGGTTAACAATTCTTGGCTATCATCCAGAAACAGCCTCTGTTCACATGCTGTTCAATGTTTAGTCCACATCCCACATTTTTAAACAGTAATTTAAGACAAGCACTGTTTAATTCATCTAATCAACACCACACACTAGTAAAAGATTATAATGCTAAGCACTGAGAATTACTTCCAAAATTATCTATTATGAAAGCATGACAAAAGAACATAATCCCATTTGTATAAAGTGTTTAAAAAGTGTTAAGTCCTCAGTTCTGGATATCCAAGGGGATTGATTGTATATTACTTTCGCATTGCTGTGATAAATATCTGACATAAACAACTTGATGGGGAAAAGGTATAAGCTCCATACATGCATAAATCTCCTAAAAATGTTGAAAAATCTTTTCACTGACCATCACTGAAAAGTTCTACACAGAAGAAACTTATCCTTTTGAATGTTTATAAGATTTTTATTTTATTTTAATTGTGTGTGCACACACGTGTGTACAGGTGCCCCATAGAGACCAAAAGTACTGAATACAATACAGCTTAAGTTACTATCAGTTGTGAGCCACCTGATATGGGTCCTCTGAGGAGCAGTACCCCTGCTTAATACTGAGCCATCCCCCTAACCTTCAGTTTTTGATTTTTTTTTCTACCACCTTCATTTATTGTGGTTTTGACATTATTTTTGAAGTGTAGAGTCAGTCATATTCATGCTTCTTCATTTACTCATCAAATTTGATATCAAGACAAAAATAAAGTTTATATTACCTTACTAGATGCCTTGAATTCTTGAACCAATGAATCAGATTCTGAAAAGATAAAGAACATTAAGAAAAATCTGAGCATTCAAAAATACAGATCACTGAATAGCTGTGGAGGAAAAGGATTTTGATAGTACTAGAAGGTCTTAACACACATTAACTCAACTACAAGAGAATCATCCTTCAGAAAAAGTCACTTTCAAAACCCAAACTGATGTGTCAGATGCTAGTGCTAAGGATCAGAGCAGGTAGTGCTTTTCTGGCCCACTTCATGATGCAGAGGCACCATTGACTTGCTATTTTCTACCTATCCTCTTTCACACAGAAAAGTACAGAGCATTTTATCTCTCTTAAAACCTAGATGTCACAACCAACTCTGTATGTGTGCATGCACATGTGTATGTGTGTGTGTGTATTTTCTCCCTGTACAGATCATAAAGCATCAGTTTAACATACTATTTTAAACCACTCCACAAGAGTTGCCCCATCCCCAACTTTTAAACCTTGTGAGGAGCTCATAACCAAGGTAAAACAAAAAATTACCTCCTTTACAATTTCCTATATAATTTCTTATAAAGTTAAGGTTAGTTATTTCATCTCTGAGTTCTTTTCGGTTTTTTTGTTTTTGTTTTGAGAAATCTTCTCTAATAATACTGGGTAAAAAGTAAATGGATACCTTTTTCATCTTTATTTATTTTTATTTATTATGTGTCTGTGTGCATGTGTACCTATATGCATGTGGCAGCCAGAAGTCAACCTCAAGTGTCATTCCTTAGGCACTGTCTACCTTGTTGTTTTGTTTTGTTGTTTTGGTTGTGTTGTGTTGTGATGTTTTGTTTTGTTGTTTTGTTTTGTTCTGTAGGAAGACACAGTCTCTCACCAGCCTTGGACTGATTAAGCTAAGATGGTTGGCCAATGAGTTCCAGGGACCCATCTGTGTCCACCTTCCCAGCACTGGGATTACAAACACATGCCACCTTGCCCAGTTTTTATGTGTGGGGGTTTACAAGTAGTAACTGAGCTATCTGCCTAGCACTAAAAATAAGTATAGTAGTAAAGCACTAAAATAAGTAAAAATATTAAGGCATTTTCTGGCCCCTATGATAAACAAATTGCATAAAATTCTTATTTATACTCATCAACCACACTTTTTATATATTTATAATATCTATATAAGGGTAAAATACATGCACTTACCACTTCCTCTTTTTTTTAATTCTTCTTGGGCTTTAATTAATTCTTCCTTAGTTTTAGCTAACTCAGCTTTAACTTGGTTATACTTTAGTTGCAAACAAGCAATAGCTTCCTGGGAATCAGCAAGAGATGCAATGTGTAAGTGAGCAAGTTCAGCCTGTTTCTTAATATCAGTGACATCATCTTGAAGAGAATCAATAATATCTTCAAATCCTACATAATTACGTGCTTCCTAAAAATAGCAAAAGCCACATGTCTAACATTAACAGTGGGTCTCACCATTCATGTTGTAATACCTGATTTAAAGTTTTACAAACAGCAAAAACTCACAATTTAAAATTCCTTAAAATAAACTGTACAAGATACTATAGAGACTGCTCAGCAGTTAAGAGCACTAGTTACTCTTGCAAAGGACCCAGGCTTGGTTCCCAGCACCCACATGGTGACTAACTATTATTTGTAACTACGGTCCCAGGGGATCTGATGCTTTCTTCTGGCTTCCACAGCCATTGCATGCATGTGGTCCATGTACATGCTGACAAAAGACTTATACACATAATAAAAATAAAAATTTTGAATTGAACTACATGAAAATATCCTTAATTTATAATTTAGTTGTTCATTTTCTACTGTATAGAACATGAGGGCTATTCATAACTATATCATAAACTGTGGTAAGTCATTCAGAACAATTATGATTACCTAGTTCATGTATAGTAGCAATCACATAATGAGTCTTACATGGCTTTTTATAATAACCCAAGAAACTAGCCTCCATTCTCATGTGTCAGTCCACATCCCAAACCATGTGCAGGTCACAAAATGGTTTAACAGCGGGAACCTAGAGATCTTTGTTCAAGCCATTGAGTGTAGTAGCTGAGAAAACACGCTCACACACAGAAAAGCAAAACAAACACAACCACCAAACACAACCACCTCCAAAAGAGCTCGATCAGTTTCAGCTTCAGTGGAAGCAGCAGAAAATGATAACTTTTCACTGAGGTAAAAACTAGCATTTTTCTAGCAAAAGCAAGCCTTTATACACATACACACTTTGTTTTGATCAGAACAGTAAGTAAATGACCCCTTAAAGGTTTCTTTACATCTTTAATTTTTTTTTTATAAAATTGACATGTCTGAGAGGGGTATTCTATAATCCACAAAAGACTGCCCAAACAATGATTAAAGAAATATCAAATTTTAAATAAAAGCCACAGATATATAAGTTTTTCCAAATACAAAAGCTATATTAAACTTTTTTTGTGTGTCTGGCAAGGTAGCACATGCCTATGATCCACATATTCAGGAAGCTGAGGCAGGAGGATTTCAGACCTAGGCCAGCCTGGGCTATAGAGTAAAGGTGTCTCAAAAGAAAGCAAAACAAAAAAACACTACCTTTTTGTGCTTCAATGTCTAATACAATGTCTAATCTACACGTCTAATGACAACAAAGCCATATAACCTGTGTACACTTCAATAATTAACAGTTCTCATCATTGATGAGATACATTAAATCCTGGTACCAAAACCTCATTGGTTCTTTGGAATATCTGAGTCAACATACTTCAGTTTCAACTTTCATGGCACAAATTCTATCTGTTGGTTCATCTTGGGTGTCACATATTCCAATCAAATCCTTGAAGATTGCCAAACGACACTCAGCATTTTCTTCTAGTATCTCTCGTTCCTGAAGAAGTGTTTCCCTTCATAATGCAAAATTAATCTCATTAAGAAATGTAAAGGCAGTACTTTGTGATCTTATTTAAATTTTTATGACTAAATATATTACAGATTAAGAACAATTTAAATAATTTTGTGTAGTGTCTATTTTCAAGCCTGTAAGAATAATTCTCAGTCCTTATCAGGTCTTGAAAGAACTTACTTAAAATCAGCTTCCCGTTGAGCCCAAAATTGAGTAAACTCCTGGGTAACTTCCTCTCGAATTTTAAATTCCAAAGTTAACTTTTCTTTTTTTTCATTTATTAGTCTTTTTTTCAAGTCTTCTATTAAATCCAACAGTTTCTATAAATAAGTAAATATACTTCTTAGAAAAGAATAAGTATATTCTAAGAGAAATATATCAAAATGTTCAACTTAGTCAAAATGTTCAACTATAAACAACTATAAACATGTATCCTTTCTAATACTTAGTGCTAATAGTCTCACTGAAAATTATACATTTTTTGACTATTAACATGAAAAATCAAGTGTGCCTCTCCACATTTTAGAAACAGTCTTATCCAAAAAATAATAATTTAAAGACATAGACTTATGGTAGCAAATGTTTCACTGTTTAGCTAAAAAAAAAAAAAAAGTAAAGTAAAATTTGAGCATTTAATTAACCACTAGGAAATGCTCTGTAGAACTGTATATTTTATTTTGTTTTCTCTGTACAACTTCCTATGAATTTGGTAGCATCACATTTCCTAAATAGAGAAAATAAGGACCGGATTTGTAGTAAATGATAAGACTGGGCTTTAAAGTGCCCTGTTGGAAATAGAGAGATAGCTCAGTTGATGACCAAAGTTCAAGTCCCCAGACCTCATGTAAAGCCAAATGCAGCAGCACACATCTGGAATCTCACAGGCCAGCTAACTTGGCCTACACAACAATGAAAAGAAGATGTTGTCTCAAACAAAGTGGAAAGCAAGAATCAATACCCAAGGTTGTCATCTGACCACTACATGTGCGCTCTCTCTCTCTCACACATACACACACACACACACACACACACACACACACACACACACACACACGGTGTCCTATCAAAATTTGAAGGCCTAGTATAGGACACATTACAAACATCCACTTTCCAAAATGTCCAAGACATTATTATGTAAACTTATCTTTTCAGACTTCCTTAACTATGCAGGTGTAAATAACTCTATAGCCTTTGAAAACACATAATCATATGATATATACAATGAATGAATAAAGCAATTAACAATTAATATGGCCAATAAAGACTGATATTAAAATAAATTATAGTATTAGAAATATACCTTGGTATTCTTTAAAGTTTCTGATTTATGTTTCTGAAGAACAAATAAATCAATAAACTCTCTCGAAACTTATAGATTCTTCATTATAAGGTTATATTCAAATACAACCTTTATATTTGAAAATGATTCCATCATGAACTTACACTTAGTAAATGATTCTTTAACATAACCAATAATTATTTAATGTGGCCAATGTTCTGACTATAAGAATGGTCATCACCTTAGTATTTTTTGTGGCAGTAACAGTATTTAAATAAAGGAAAAGTGAAAAACCAACTCAATAGCCAAATTCAAGGTATTGGCTCAATTGCATGCTATTTTCATAAAGTAAACCACTGAATTTGGGGGACAGAAGGGTGCTAGAGGTCAAACCCAAGGTCCTGTACCTTGTATGTGCTAGGCCTGAGCTATGGAATGAAAATGTCTCAAGGAAAAAATTAATTGTTCACCTGAGTATTAAGTGATTTTTATACTCAAAGGATGTGTTCTCCCTTGTTTGTGGATCCTAGCACCAAATCCTTATCAACAAATATCCCACTCACCATCAAAGTAGCTTCTTTTTCAACACACAGAGATTATTACAGAGTTACACTACTAGTGACACACAAAGATTCTCTGTTAATTGCCCAAGCAAAAGTGGCACATCTAGGATGCAACCTCTACACCTAAGGCTCATGGAGCATAGAACAAGGGATGAAGAGAACACTAATGCATCTTTCAGTTCTCATCAATGAAGCTTCCTCATACAACAGAGGGCCAGGAAAACAAAAGGCCACAAATGGCCAAAATGAAGAGACTAAGGGTCTGCAGAATACGGGTTCTTGTACAGGATTCCTGGGTCCACCCCCCCAGGGCTCAGGGACCATTGTGGAAGAGGGGGAAGAAAGATTATAAAAGCCAGAGAGGAGGTCCATGACCAAATGGCAATAGTCCTACAGGTGCCTGGGACCCTTCTCATACAAACCTACAGCAATGGTGTCAGCATGCACAAGACCCACGCAAACTTAGGCTGACAAAAAACCCAGCACAGAACTGTGGAAATAAACAGCAAGCCCCAATCTTAGTGGAAGAATTATTGGTAGCTGATCATGGCTGGGTGAGGAAGAGCTGATCTTCTTGAAGAGGGACACTCTAGATAGGCGACTAAACCCTAGTGGATAAACTTGCACTGAAGGATATCTCGGGACACTAACTGTACATAATAGACCTTAATTCAAATGACAGAATGTATGAACTCCAGTTGGGGGAGGAGGTATGGGAGGGTCCCAAAGGGGAAGGGGGGAGGGAGTATAAAGATTATTTTATGTATAAAACACACAAAACTTCAATAAAAATTTTTTAAGAGACTTTTTCCCTACCTGTGGGCATAAACCATAATAAACTCACATAAGAGACTTTTATACTTAAATATACCATAATTATATGATACTTTTATCATTTTGACTACCACATACATTTCCACTGCTTAAAGTAGTAAGAATAGGGCTGGGGAGATGGCTCATAGGTTAAAAGCACTTACTGTGCTCTTATAGAAGACCTGGGTTTGGTTCCCAGAACACATGTGGCAGCTAACAATGATCTATAACTCATTCCTTAAGATTCTACACTCTCGTCTGGCCTCCATGGTCATTGCATGCACTTGGAACATTTACATATATGCAGACAAAACACTCATGTACATAAAACAGAGAAATAAGTTATACAAATAATGTAAAGGTTACAATTCAATTTAATGCATGAACACTATGTAGATATAGTTTAAAAGAACAACTATTAAATCTTCTGTATTTAATAAGCAATAAGATGTTGTTGAAGAAATACAACCACTGGGGGCCAGCAAGATGGCTCAGCGGGTAAAGGTGCTTGCCACTAAGCCTGACAACCTGAGTTCTGAGTTCAGTCTCCAGAACCCAAATAGTAAGAGAGAGAACCAACTCTTGAAGTTGTCCTCTGACTTCACATGCATGTGGCTGTTACTCCACAGATAATATGCTTTAACAAAAAAGAGAGATCTGGAACATACTACACCTTAATGAAATAAGCAAGCCATTTCCAGATATTGTGTGTCTCCTACACTGAAGTAATGAGAAATTCCGAACTTTTAGGCTTACATGAAGGGTTAAACCTAAATCATGATGGACAATTCATATGGACCAGGACTGGAGGAATTTTATAGGACAAACTGCCTCTTTTTTTTCTAAAGTCGATGCTAGAAGGTAAGAAGTTATAAACCTCCACCCCAAACTAAGGAACTAGAGAAGGCTTCTGAGGGAAAGTCAGTTTTCTCTAAGAGTGTGGCCCTAGTAAGCCAATCAAGCTCGAGGTATCATATAGCCTCACACCCAGAAGCACATTAGCACAAATTAAGAGTTGATTAGGGAATGGGTAGATTAGGGGTAGATCTGGGAAGAGTTAAGGGGTGAGCGGGAAGTGTATATGATCAAACTACATAGTATAAAATCCTCAAAGAATAAAAATAATTTGTTTAAAAAAAATAAAAATATCATTTATAATCATGTACCTGAACTTTGAAAGAGTACAGATAAAATGAAAGGTGTATGTATTCATATACTCCAAACAATTAGCCAATCTATGTGAAAGGTAAATGAATCTTTATTATACTTGTCTTTCCGTAGGTTTGAAATTTTTCAAAAACTAAACAAGATATAAAAACCTCAGCACACTGTTAGGAACAAACTGTAAGTGTGTAGTGTCTATAGGTCCAACTCCATAGGTGTCTCAGACTGTTAAGATTGTGTGAGCCCAGGTAGCAAGACCTCATCTAAAAAACAAAAAAAGTAAAAATTAAAAAAGCAGGGGCAGAGGATAGGGGAGGTGACTGGAGATGGCTCAGTGGGTAAAAAAGAGCACTAGCAGTACAATCGTAGGAGCTTGAGTTCAGATCACAAGCACCCAAGCACAGAATGTATCTGTAAATCCCAGCATTGGTAAGAAGAGACAGGCAGGTCCCTGGAGCTACATGGATAGCCAGTCTAGCTGAGCTTGGAAGCTCCAAGTTCAGTCAGTGAAAGACCCTGCCTCAAAAACTACAGTGGAATTGGGCATGGTGCAGAGGCCAGTCTGGTCTATACAGTGAGTCCAGGCCAGCTGAGGCTACAAGGAGATCCTATCTCAAAAGATAAAAAAATAAAACCCAACAAAAAAAAATGATGGTAGCACATGCCTTTAAACCCAGTGTTCACGAAGCAGAAGCAGATGTATCTCTGTGAGATTGAGACCACCCTGGTTTACATAATGATTTCCAGGCCAGCTAGGGACTCAGAGAGACCCTGCCTCTGAAAATCAATTAATTTATTAATAATTAATTAATAAGGTGGAGGAACTAGCAAGATAGTTCAGTAGGTAAAGGAGCTTTCTGTGCAAGTCTGACACCCTGAGTTCAATCCCTGGAACCCATGTAAAGGTAAAAGGAAAGAATCGACTTTACAAAGTAGTCCTGACTACCATGGCATGTGCACCTGAACACACACACACACACACACACACACACACACACACACACACACACAAATCTAAAAAAACAAAACAGGTGTTGAGTAACTGAAGAAGATACCTGACATTGACCTCTGGCCTCCACACACGCACACACAAAAACGGGGAGTGGGCCTCAAGAATTAAACCTAACTTCAGAAAAGTAAAACCAGGCATAGAAACAGAAGTTTGTAATACATACCCTGTGTTCATGGCTTTTGAACACCTTACATTCCTCTAATGTTTTATCCACACCTTCATCACTAAGACCAGTTTCCATATTTTGTGTTTCTTCAGTTTTATCTAAATCCTCAACCAAATCTTCATCTTCAACCAGATCTTCCAGACTATTTTCCCATGCAACAGTGGTTCTTTTTATATTTAACATTTTATTATCCAAAGTATTATCTAGTGATACATCTTGAGAAGATTTGATGAGTTCAAAAGATTTTTCTTGAGAAGAATTTAAAATATCTGGGACATAAACCTGTTAAAAATATCCAATTTGGCTTTTATAACAGTAAGGCAAGAACCGTTACTATTTTAATTAATTCATTTATTTACTTAGAGACAAGGCCTCACTATGCAGCTCTACCTCCTGAGTCTTTGGACCCTAGGCCACTACACCCAGCCTACAATTTAAATGTTAAAGCTATGCAGGCATACACAGAAAAAGGAATTAGCACCCTTATATCAACTTTCTGATAAGAAACCAGATGATGGCAGAGGGGACAATTCATTCCAATGATATTCATTAATGTTCATAATTAATACTTAGTACTAAATATTATGTTACTCCTTTCAAGGACAGCTTTCAATTTTTTCCCCATGTCTTTCTACTTGGCTAAATACATTTTTATGTTCAAATATTTCCTAGGCTTAGAGTAATATACACAAAATATTATTTATTTCAAAGTAACTTCTTAGCCAGGCAAGGTGACATACCATGGGCCTGTATTCTAGCCCTCAGGAGGCAAAGGTAGGGGGATTGCTGCAATTTCTAGCCCAGGTTAAGCTACAGAGACCCTATCTCAAAAAATAAAAAGCCAAGCAAAACAAAACAAAAAACCCAAACACTTTATCAAGGAAAAATTCTAATAAGAAATGTTTCATTAAATTTGCAGAAATCCAAATATATTTACCTTTTGTGCAATGGCTGAGAACTTCAATACATTGAGCGTTTCATCATAGGCAAAACAACACTGACTGACATTGACAATCATACATATTTTCCCTTTACCATTGAAAAAGCTTTGAAAATAGTGGGTCAATTTACTTTCCCGGAAAGGCACATGCTGTTGATACCTATGGGATAATTTTGAAAACAGTAAATGAAAATAAATTGTATGTCAGGCTAGGAACACAGCTCAGTATCAGAGCACTTGCCTAGCATGTGCCAGGCTCTGGAATTCTCCTCAGTACAGTCCATCATGCAGGGAGGCATCCCAGCAGAGGTGGTTGGAGTAGGAGAAGCTAAGCTCTCACATCTTCAAGCAGGTACAGGAAGCAGAGCAGGACTGGAGATCTGGCAAGGCTTAAGAACTCTCTAAGCCCGCCCTCAATGACGTGCTTCCTCCATGCATGGCCACACTTTATAAGACCTCCCAAAACAGTGCCACCAGGTGGGGAGAAAATGTTCAAATACTTGGAGCCTATGGGGGACATTCACATTAAACCACCACATAGACTTAATTAAGTTTTCCCTCCCTTGTAATAATTTTTCTCTGTTTTCTTTAAATGATACTGCTATGAATAATACTAATGATAACCAACTGGCCAAAACGTTTAAAAACAAACAAAAATCTTAAATTAACTGCGTTGTATTCCCTAGAATACAGCAATTATACATTACATATCATAAAATATCATAATTGGCAGGGTGAGGGCTAATCTATCTTTTAATCAGTCCAAAATGATGATAACAAAAATCTATCACATCTACAAGAAAACACACAATGTATTTCTTTAAGAATAAACTGGTTTTAGGGCTCAGGTTATAGCTCAGTTGACAGAGTGCTTGCCTAGCATGCAAAAAGCGGGGGTTTAATCTCAAACTGCATAAAATAGGCATGGTGGTACATGTCTGTACCCAACACTTAGGAGAAGCAGGAGGCCTAGAGGTTCAGGGTTATTCTCAAGTACACAGTGAGTTAAAGGCAGACCTAGGTTACTCAAGACTGTCTCAGAAACAAATGGGAAAAAAGTAATTTTAGATACTAAACCAGCATATAAAAGATTTGTTTCATCAGCTATGGAAAATAATCAATACACTGTCTCAGAAACTTACATAAGAAACAGGTTTTCTAAAAATTGCATTCTTTAAAAAGCAAGGTTAAAACTTTAAGGATTTTAATACTTATGCTTTATAACACTTACTTTGACTTTTCACTGTTCTTCAGAACATTTATACATTTTCCAAGAGTCAATAAAGAAGTATTAATATTCCCAGCCTCTCTTAACCTTTCACCTTCATTTTGTGTCCTCATGCTTCGTTCTGAACCAGCAAGATCACATAAAGATAATCTAAATCAACCAAAAATACAGTTACTGTAAAATTCTTTAAAATATTTTAAAATAACTACAATTTAAAGAATGTTCAACTTACTCACTGACTCTAACTACACGAGGCATTTCAGAATCTTCGATCTGTAAGATTCTAATAGTGAATATGCTGTGACTAAAAGACATAACACAAAGATCAGATATTATCATTCCATTTTTAATTTCCACATCGAAATAGGAGATCCAGGCATCTAAATGGACTTTTTTTTGCATATATCCACTACTGCTACATTTTGCAAAGTTGTCATTTATACATGCCCAACTGTCTGAAATCATCTAGCCATCTAGCATTTGCCAAACCCCAAATCTCTCATACATTCTCCACTTGATGAATTCCATTTCTATTAATGAAATTATTTATAATAAAGATTCAATATTCAGCTACTTGGGCAAAAGAATCAAAAGTTCAAGGCCAGTCTTGGCTACTGAGTGAGATCAAGGGCAGCCTGAGCAATTTAGTGAGATTCTGTTTAAAAATAAAAAGGGGCTAGAGAAATGGCTCAGCGGTTAAGAATACTGGCTGCTCATGCAGAGGACCTGGGTTCGGTTGCCAGCACCCATATGGTGGCTGATAGCCTTCCAAAACTCCAGGGAATCTGACACCCTCTTCTGACTTCCACGGGCGCAACACAACACAGGTACACATACATACATGCAAGCAATACTCATACACATAAACAATAATAAAAATTTTAAAAAGTAAAAAGATAGAAGGGGATAGATGTAAATCAATGCTAGAGAGCTTGCCTGGCATCAGTGAGACTCTGGGGTCAATCCCCAATACTGTGGGTAGGGGGGGATACTGAACAATCTTTTTGTAGAGATCACATTAGTAATGAAAAGGCTGTTGTGTATATAGCAACCTTCTTTGAAAATTTACCTAAAGCAAAATATAGATTTTTTTCCTCTATACAGACTGATGTAGATTTCATACAATCCCAAGCCCAACTCAGTATAGAGATAAAGCTTTTCCTTCTTTAAGAGAAAGTATTTTAAACATCTCACTGCTGAAGGTTTTTCTTTGTCTCCCATTCCCTAATTCTTATCAAAAACATCCTTCTTAACCCCCTCAGATTATGGCCTTGGGGTAAGACAGAGAAAAGGCCACTATTGTTGGCAACTAGGAAAATGATCTAGCACAGACATAAGAGAAGAATAAAAATACATCAAGAGACTTCCTACAAATTAGGAAACCTAATGTTCAGATAAGAAATTACCTGTCTGGTTTAGATCTACAAAAGATTGTTATGCCTATAAATTCACTTAGCATCAGAGAACCTACTGTACACCTCAATCTAAAATTAGTTAGATTTACAGTTACCAAGGACACTGTGGGTGTTTCAGAATTGCTCCCTAGGGCTCACTACTTACCTTCTACTAGAAGCGTTGTTCAGTTTTGTGAAGGCAACACTCTGGTGCTTTACTCCAAGTTTTAAAAGTCTATATGCTTCTTTGGAATCAGATACTTGAATCCATTGTAGATCTTTAAAAAGTAAAGATACATACCACTTTATAAAATGTAGACTTTGTACAGTGTAAGTTTTTAAAGTTTTGTATTTATTTGTCTTTTGTGCATGAATGTTTTGCCTGCAGGTACGTAAGTGCACCCATGGATGCAATGCCCATGGAGATTAGAAGAGGAAATGGGATCCATTAGATCTGGAGTTACAGATGGTTGATAGCCACCATGTGGGTGCTAGGAACTAGACCAGTGTCCTCTGCAAGAGCAGCCAGTGCTCTTAACAGCTGAACCATCTTTCCAGCTCCAATATAATTCTCTTAAATGTATTTTCCTAGTAACATATAACAAAATCTTTCTGCTAATCATACATAGAAATGAAAGTCAAAAGAGCTATTCCATGTTACACAAGAAATATAAAATATGGGACTATAATGATGTTTTAGTATTTAAGTTATACCAAACACACAAAGTAAATGTTCTGGCATAGAGTCTGCCAGATGGAAGATTAAAATCATACAAATTCATTTGACATTCAGAAAAAAATAAGAGTATAAATGAAACTACAAAATTAGCTATGTATGAGCCACTGTAAGTTCTAATTCATTAGTGAATCATTAAACCAGTATTTTTGGTGACACTTAGCATTTTGTGAAATGAAATGGACATATGAGCATTGCAGTACATTCCCTAAAGTAAGTACAACTAAAAAAATTTGAGCTGTGAACAGTATACATGCATATAAACTTCTATAAGTACTGGATTAAGATGTTATAATGTGTATTTCCTACTATAACAGTTTTAAAAGGTTGGAAAAACACATAAAGACTAGTAACATTTCACAGATCCAAAATTTGGACAGTTTTAAAAGCAAAATAATTATTAACAATTACAGCATTTTATCACCAAGAACTAAGTACCACCAAAGCAAATACAATCAATACCAAAGTAGACCATTTTATATTCAAGTGTAATAAACATAACAAAATTTATTTCCAGAGTATAAACTCTCAGTTTATTGATGTCAATAATGAGTATCAAATTTTTGAACTTCCTATTTGCCTATGGATATCACACAACTTCAAACTGAACTTAGAAACATTAAAATTAAAATATTCACTAGTATACCTTTTATGAAAGAATAGCCCTTTATATCTTGGGAAAGGCGCAGCATCTTTCTCTTTTGGAGCTTAGACGACAGAGGAACAAACAAGTCATAAATACATTCATTGTAAATCTCAAAGAAAGAAACCCACACAGAAAATTTTATATTATTGTCCATATTCAAGTTAGCTTGTTCACAACGTTTCATGGATTCTTCAAACTCTGGGATGGTCAAAGAGTTTGTTAAACTTCCTGTAACAACAACAAAAAAGGCATAAAATTAAGCACTTGACTAGAAATGAGACAGAAATAGCTTTAGACTTGAAAACTTAGGTATCCTTAATCTTTTTATCATCTATGTTAAACCAAAGCTTGGTTTCTTTTCATCTTCCTTTGGAAGAGATGCTACTGAGCCAAATAGAAATTAAAGGCAAGGGACAAAGAAAAAATAAGAGCCATTCTTGAATGCACTATTAAAGTTATAAAGAGAGAAAATGACATCTGCAATATTTAATCTAAATGAAACTTTACAGCTACTGATAATTCATACAGTCAGGTATCACTGTGCAGGTACTGCACAATTAAAGAAATTAAAAATTAAAAACTCTCAAATGTATTTCTCAAATGTGAAAAAGGAAACCTTACCACAAAGAATATCATAACTGTCATTATGAATAGTAACCTAAAAAGAAAAAAAACAATTTTTGTTAAGGTTAAATAACCAAGATATTATCTATCCAAATAAGCCACCAACCAATTCACAACCTTCCAATCATTTAATTCAATGACTCATGTTTAATTTTTATCCTAGTTAAATAATGGCATCTTATAAGAAGAAATATGGCAAGCTAAAGTATTAACCAAGAATATCATGATGTATTATACCTGCCAGTCAGAAATAACTACTGCAAATATATACATTCCTCTTTAATTCTTTTCTCTACACTTAATTTATATTCTAAAAGTCTTCCACCTATACTTAAAAATTACTTACAAATATTTGATGGCTGTTTAACAGAATGGATATAAAATGACCTAATTCTTCCTTTATTATTATGCATTTGGTTATTTACAAAAATTTACTGATAAAAATAATGCCATAATAAACACCTTACTATTGGGGCTGGAGAGATGGCTCAGCGGTTAAGAGCACTGGCTTTCTTGCAGCGGACCCAGCCTCAGTTATAGCACATACACAGAGGATAACAAACTTCCAGAACGCCAGATCCCAAGGCTCCAGGGCTCAGCAGTTAAGAGCACTGGCTTTCTTGCAGAGGACCCGAGTTCAGTTACAGCACATACACAGTAGATAACAACCTTCCAGAACGCCAGATCCCAAGAATCCAATGCCCTTCTCAGGCCTCCACATGCACTGCACTACGGTGCACTTATAATACATCCAGGCAAAACACTCATATACATAAAATGAAAATAAAATTTTAAAACAAACATTTTAAAAAATGTATTGAAGCCAGGCATGGTGGCGCACACCTTTAATCCCAGCACTTGGGAGGCAGAGGCAGGCGGATCTTTGTGAGTTGGAGGTCAGCCTGGTCTACATAGCGAGTTCCAGGAAAGCTGGGGCTACAGGGAGACACTGTCTCAAAAAGACAAAAAAAAAATTTTAAAAAAATGTATTGAACAAATTAATATTGAAAAACAAATGGAGGGAGCCAATGAGATGGCTCAGCAGGTAAAAATCTTTGCCACATAAGCCAAACAATTTGATATTGATCCTCGACACCCTAGTAGAAGGAGAGAACCAATTCCCTAAAGCTGTTCTGACTTTTCACATGTGTACAGTCACAATTCATCCACAAACACACACACACACACACACACACACAAAATATACAAATAAATAAATAAAATTATTTTTAAAAGAAAAAATAAGCAAGAGGAAAGTAATAATCTGGAAAATTTATAAGCCATATAAGAACCTAACTTTTTAGTAGGGATTGAACTCAGTGTCTCCTACACACCATGCAATTACTTTACCATAAAGCTAATTATGGCTTATTGAACAAGTTCTTATCAATAAGTCAAATGGCAAAGAACATATTCGAAAATTCACAGCAAAAATTCTAAGATGCACTATCTATCTCATTTATAATTAAAGAAACATAAATGAAGGCTGAGACTGTTGTTCAAATGACTATCCACAAACAAGTAAATATCTACCAGGCCAGCCAGGTATAGGGGTACCTGCTTGTAATTCCAACAATTGGGAGGTTGAGGCCAGAAGATTAAGAGTCTGGGGCCAGCCTAGGGTAAAGAATGAGATTCTGTGCCCCCTCCCCAAAGAACTTTTAAAAAGTGCTCACTGTTAACCTCAGTTTGTAGAAAGTAACAGGAAATATGTTTGAAATAGATTGCTTTCTCACTGAAGCAGTTTATAATAGTTCATCAATATGAAATTAGTTTTTTAAAATGAATTTTTAAAACAGGAAACAAGCTAATCTAACAGATAAACAGCTACAAATGATTTAAAGTGTAAGAGATTTTAGACAAGATAATGACAAACTCTTTCTTGAAATTTTTTTATTTATTATTTTTATTTTATGTGTATGAGTGTATTGCCTGCATGTATGTAAGTGTACCCATGTCATGCAATGCCCGCAGAGGACAGAAGAGACGGCTGGATCCCCTGGAACTGGAGTTAGTTGCCATGTGGGTGTTGGGATTTGAACCCAGGTCTTCTGCAAGAACAGTCAGTGTTCTTAACCGTTAGACCATCTCTCCAGCCCCAAAAGACTAAGTCATTTTTTAAAATATAGTAAAATTTTCTTTTTGTTTAAAAGGGAAAAAAACTTCCATTCTACATATAACAAAGAGAAAGTGAGTGCTTCCCTAGCATGCATGAAACTGTGGATCAAATAACCAGCATCAGAAAAAGAAAATGTGAAGATACTTAAAAATGTATATGAAAGCTGGGCATGGTGGTGCACGCCTTTAATACCAGCACTCAGGAGGCAGAGACAGGCGGATCTCTGTAAGTTGAAGGCCAGCCTGGTCTACATAGTGAGTTCCAGGACAGCAGGGGCTACAGGGAGACCCTGTCTCAAAAAGACCAAAAAATAAAAATTAAAATTAAAAAAAAAAATAGTAATTTCATGAATATGTTTAAAAGTATAATGCTAATTTTAGAGATAGCAAAAAACATTTCAGTACGATTTATAATTATACTGTTTATTGCTATCTGTTGCCTTCCTTAAATTAATAAATTTGAAGAGTCACTCAAAGCCAGGTGGCCCTGGCAAAGAGATGGGCATGCCCTCCCTCAGGACAACCCAGAGCCCTAATAACTCCAAGTATACGTGTAGGTTTTGATAAAACAGTGATTTTGCTGATAGGTGAGCAGTGGAGAGAAATACCACTTTGCCACACTGTAAATTACTAAATTTTTTCAAAATTAGAAAAGGGTTGGAGTCCCAGCACAGCCATTAAAGGCTCAGGCTTATAACCAAAAAGACAAAAACAAACCAACAAACAAAAAATCACCATGACCAAAAACAGATTACAATACAGGCTGAACCAATCCTAAAAGTTTCTTGAAAATTTATGATTTTCTAAGGAGACAGAGGCAAGCAATCACTGTGAGATGAAGCCAGCCTGGTCTACACAGCAAGTTCTAGGTCAGTCAGGTCTAAAGAGAGACCCTGTCTTTAAAAAAGAATCATGATTTATATATTTCACATACTAAAATCCTTGTGTACCTCTTTAATTTGTCGCAGTAGTACACTTTTGCTAGCGCCTTCTTCTTTTTCTTGCTCTGATGACAACCGTACATATTCTCTACATCTATGTGGCTTAAAGTTCATCTTGGTGTATAGTCTTTCCTGAAGACTATCAAATAGGACATTCAAAGTTCTAGGCAGAATGCCAATATTTTCTTCCGTACCTACAAAAGAAGAGTATGAAAGAGGTAACCTTCCCGGATTAACAAAGCTCCTTTTGTACTATCAATAGGAAAAGGTCATAAAGGAAAAATCCAAGGAGTTAAGGAATTATTTGGTTTTCTATCACTTAAGTGTTTATTGTATTATCAACACATTTTGATGCAAAAGCCTGAAATTTTATATTCAAATCAGGCCCTAATGTGAAGATTTCCTATCACCCATAGTCACAAACTATAAAAGCAAAATGAAATACAAAGTGACATTTATTCTTTGCTTAATTCTCTATATCATATCTTAATTTTCTCAACATTTACTCTATATCTGTAAAACAATTTTACATGTAAATCAAATAAATATGAATTAAAAGCCATCAGCTATATTTCAATATGTTACTTTTAAAACATAGAGGACTTCCAGGTAAGATGGCTAACTAGAAGCTCTCCATGTGTGACCAAATTAAGAAGGGTTAGTCTAAGAAAAGAATAGACTCAATCTGGAAAGATGGCTCAATTGGTAAAGTGCTTGCCCAGTTCCAAAGTGTACACTCATAAGATGGGAACTCATCTAGAAAAACAAACACATGAGAATAACATCAAATCTTTCATTAATAATCATAAAATCAAAAAAGAATGGAATGTATTTCAAGCCTTGAAAGTAGTGACTGCCAACCAAGACTGCTATATCTAGCCTCGCTATCCTTTAAAATTGACAAATAATATTTTAAGTAGAAACTATAGCAGTTCATGACTATCAAGCCAGAATCACAGAAGACACTTAAATGCTATACACAGAGAAAGAAAAACAGACAGATCCAATCACAAGAACACAAGAATGAATAATTCTCATGATGGATTAAAGGAATCCACCATGTACAATACAGTAAATGATAAATATCCTAATACTGATAGGAGAAAGAACAATTATCAAAAAAAGGGGGAAAAAGAAATAATAGGAATTAATAAATATCTCTCAATACTAACCCTAAATGTAAATGGCCAAAGGATGGAAGTCAATCTATCGAGCAAATAGAAGCCAAAAACAAGCTGGCATAGCTATTCTAACACCTGAGACTGAGACATAGAGTTCAAATCAGAATTACTCAGAAGAGATAAAACAGGCCACTATAGGTACTAAAGACATGGCTCAGTTGGTAAAGTGCTTGCCACACAGCATGAGAACCTAAGCTCAGCTCCTCGACACCCACATAAAACACTAGGACCAGTAGTACCCATCTGTAATCCCAGCTTTGGGAAGGCAGAGACAGGAGAATCCCTGAGGCTTGCTGTAGCTAAACTGGGGAGCTCCAGGTTCAATGAAAGCCCCTATCTCAGAAGTAAGGTAGGCAATGATTGAGAAGGACACCCAATGTTGACCTCTGGCCTCATACATATGCACACATGCACATATACATGAAAGGACACAGAGAGACCAAAAAATAAAAAGATCACTACATAATAACAAAGGGAACAAATCAGAAATTAACAGTTATAAATATATATGCACCAAATGTTGAAGCTCCCAATTTCATAAAATGAACAGTGGGCACTTTATTAGTTGCTTTTCTGTTGATACAGTAATAGTGGGTGACTTCAATACACCAATATCATCTTCAGATAGGTCAACCAAACTAAACATCAGCAAAGAAAAAGCAATTAAACTACATCACAAATCAAATGGATATTACAGGTACCTACAAAATATTCCATCCAACTGAGAGAGCATACACATTGTTCTCACGAAGCATAAAACCTCTAAAATAGAGCATAATCTAATGCCTTAAAACAAATATAAAATAACTGAAATAATTTCTTATACCTTATTAAATCAAAATGGAATAAACTAGAAATCAGTAGTAAGATAAACTACAGCAATTACACAGATAATTGGATACCGAAAAAAATGTATTCTTGAATAATCAAGTGGGTATTGGAGAAGAAATAGACAGGGAGAAATATTGTTAGGATCAAATGAATGAAAGTCAAACCAAAACCTTTGGGCTATAGCTAAGGAGGGTCTAACTACTATATTAAAAAGTGGACCAGCTAGATGGCTCACCTGATAAAGGTACCCGCTGCCAAGCCTGACAACCTGAGTTTAATTCACAGAACCATGAAAGAAAAGAACCAACTGTTTTCCTCTGACAAGTACATGCATAGACATACATACACATACGCATACACACCACACGATAAATAAATGTAATTCAAAAAATTAAATAGCATGAAGATCAAATAAATAACCTAATTATGCACCTCAAAGTCTTAGAAAAACAATCAGTCAAACCCAAAGCAATGGATACTAAAAAATAACTGAGGTCAGGACAGAAATTAATTAAATAGATATTAAAAGAATAGAAGGTATCAATCCAACAAAAAATTGGTTCTTTGTAAAGATAAACAAAACTGACAAGCTCCTACTAAACTAACCAAAAGAAAGAGAATGAAGATCTAAATTATTAAAATCAGAGATGAAATAGGAGACATTAAATAGATTCCAATGAAATCCAGAAAATTAGGGAGTACTTTGAAAACTTATTTTCTAACACACTGGGAAATCTAGAAAGAAATGGATAAATTCCTAAGAATTATTTGACCTACCAAAATTAAATCAAGAAGATAAAATGAGATTGAAGTAGTAATAAAGTCTCCCAACCAAGAATAGCCCAGGACCAGATGGATTCACTGCTAAATTCTACTAAACTTTTAACGAAGAGCTAAACTAATCCTTCTCAAACTGTTTCAAAACACAGAAAGGGAAGATACACTAAACTCATTCTATAAATCCAGTATTAGACACAGACAAAATAAAAACTACAGGTCAATTTCCCTGGTGAACAGACACAAAACTTCTCAGGAAAATTTTGCAAATGAATTCAAGAACAGGAGACCAGACCATTCAACATATGCAAATCAAGAAACAGTATGCACCACAGACATATACTTAAAAATAGAAATCACACAATTATCTCAACAGCAGCAGGAAAGGCTTTTGACAAAGTTAAATATCCCTTCCTGATAAAAGCTCTGAAACACTAGAAACAGAAGGAGCTTATATCAACTATCAATATCAATCCTATAGCCAATATTATTAACTAAATGGGAAAAAAAAAACCGAACACATTTCCTCTAAACTTAGGAGACAAAGATGCTCACTCTTATCAAGCTTATTAAATATAGCAATAAGAGCAAAAACTAAAAATACAGACAGGAAAGGAGGAAGTCAACATATCCCTATTTGCAAACAGTCTCATCCTATAAAAACCTAATTCCGCCAGAAAACTCTTGGGTTTGAAAAGCACTTTTTAGCAATGTGCCAGAATACAAAATAAATATATAAAACTTTGAAGTAATTGTATATATAAATGGTGAACTTACTAAGACAAAAAAAACCATTCAAAATAGCTTTTTAAAGCTATTTTAAAGTTATTTAAGAATAAACAATAAGGGAGATAAAAGACCTCTATTATGAAAATTTTAAGGCACTGAAGAAAAACACTGAAGAGGACACTAGTAGATGCAAAACAACACTAAAAAAACAGCTGTATCACCAAAAGTGAATCGCAATCAAAATCTCAATGACATTCTTTATACAGCTAGAAAAAAAATAAATCCTAAAATTGATATGGATGCACAAAAGATCCTGAATAGCTAAAGCAATCAAAAGCAAAAAGAGTAATACTGAAGGGGGGCTGGAGGATGACTCAGCAGTTAAGAGCATTGGCTGCTCTTGCAGAGGACCCCAGTTCGATTCCCAACAACCACATGTCGGCTGATAACCATCTGTAACTCCAGTTCCAGGGCATCTGATGCCCTCTTCTGACCTCCGTGGGCACTGCACGACACGGGCACGCTTACACACATGCAGGCAATACACTCAAGCATAAAATTAAAAAAATAAAATAAAAATTTTTTTAAAGTAATGCTAAAGGTATAACACCTGATTTTCAAATTATGCTACCTAGCTATAGTAACAAAAACTCTAGGTACTGTCACAAAAATAGACATGGAAACCAATTGACTAGAATAGAAATAAGGCCACATAATCATAGTCATTTAGGTTTTGATAAAGGTATAAAAAACACATGGACAAAAGACAACTCCTTCGGCAAATGGGGCCCAGGAAAGTAGATTTCCCCATGTAGAGGAATGAAACCAGATCCATACCTCTCACCCTGTACAAAACTCAATTTAAAATGGATCAAAGACCTGATTTTAAAATTGCTAGTGGGAAACACAAGAAAGACTTTCATGATATTAACATAAGTAGAAACTTTTCAAAAAGGACTCCAACACAGAAGCTCATCCCAAGAACTGAGAAACGGAATATGGGATTAAAGCTCCTGCACAAAGAAGAAAAGAATCATCAAAGAGACAGCCTGTAGAATGGAAAAGAAAATAATGTCCACTATATATCTGACAGGGGTCAATATCTCAGATATGCAAGAAACTGCAAAAATTAACCAGCAAACAAAAGCAAAAACAAAAACAAATCAGGGCCTGAAAGATGGCTGAGCTGGTAAAGACAATTACCACCAAGCCTGGAGACCTAGGACCCAGGAGAGAACAGTTCCTGAAGGTGGTCCTCTGATCTCGACATGCACGGTATGGCACAGGCACGGGCACATTCACACATGTATACACACTAAATAAATAAATGAAGTATATTTTAAAGGAATTTAAAATTATCTTTTAAGAACATCCAATAATGAACTGAATAGGTAGTCCTCAAAAAAAGAAACACAAAGAGCCAATAACTTTGAAATACTGTTCAATATACTCAGAAAGCAGGAAAAAGCAAATTAAAATATTCCATCACTTCCAGTCAGAACAAACAAACAAACAAACAAAAAAAAAAAACAAATGAAGGTAGCTATGGTGGAACATGCCTGTATGCCAGCACTCAGGAGGTAAAGGCAGGAGAATCAGACATTCAAGGCCATCCATCCTCTAGGATATAGCATGTTCAAGGCTAGCCTTGGCTGCATGAATCTTTGTCTCAAAACAACACAAACAGAAAACAGATGACAACAAACGACTGTTATACACTGCTCTGGGAAAGTAATCTGGTGCAGCTCTGATGGAAGTCAGTCAGAGGTTCAACAAAACTAAAAATAGAACTACCGTATGACCTACCTACACCACTCCTAGTTATATACTCAAAGGACTCTACATCAGTCTGTCAGATATATACGTACAACCATGTTCACTGCTGCACTGTTCACAACTAAAAGGATAGAACTACTCTAGAAGTCCATCAGTAAATGGATAAATAAAATGCGGTAAAAAGACATAATGAGACTATTTTCAGGTATAAAGAAAAATGAAATTGTGATATTTTGCAGGAAAATAAATGGAACTGCAGACCATTATGTCAGGTGAAATAAGCCAGATGTAGAAACCCAATAGTGCACATTTCCTCTGGTCATAATACTGATAAGAGATCTTAATGGAAGGGCAGGAAGAGAGGGCTATGGAATGTCTATAATATGCAAGCAGAAAGGACTATGGGAGGATAAAGGGAACAAAAAGAGGAGGGCAGGGGGGTAGGCAAGTAAAGTAGGGGGAATAAATAAGGACAAATTATAATGGCAAATATGCACAAAAATGCCATGATGAAATCAATGCTTTTTATATTAACTTTAAAAACAAATTGAAAAAATATATACCAAGTAATACAAATATAACTACGTGCAATTATGAGATACTTAATGGACACTATTGCTTCTTTTTCATTTCCTAGCAAAAACGAACAACATTTACCTTGAAATGTATATGTTTTTCCTGAATTGGTCAAGCCATATGTAAAGATCAGCCGACTGTGTCCTTTCAAGAGGTCTTTTACTGACTGCATAATGCAACCCCGAAAGAATTCTTTCTGTGACGTTTCAGGTCCAAAAACCTAAGAAAGCATTTTTAATATAATTCTTTTTAGAAAATTCAAGATAATAGTCACAAGGAGTTCCACCCTCTCTCTCTGTTTTGAAAATTATTAAACATTTCTTTTGAAAGATTTAATCAAAATAGGTACCTTATCTCCACTACCAAAAGTTTGTCAGAAATGAGGCCCGGTGGCGCACGCCTTTAATCCCAGCACTTGGGAGGCAGAGGCAGATGGACCTCTGAGATTGAGGCAAAAAAAAAAAAAAAAAAAGTACACTGACAGGTAGTTAACTGCCATCAAACAAATTTTGAAGACCGAAATACTCAGGGCTAATAAAATGGTTCAGTGGGTAAAGGCATCTGTTACCAAGTCTGAGGACTTGAAGACTTGAATTCAATCCTCAAGACCCACATGGCATAGAGAACTGATTCCCACAAGTTCCTCATTCCTCCACATGTGCACTGTGGCATGCACACACAAAATCAAGTTTTATTTAAAAAAAACTTCTAAGATAGAAATCTCACCCACTCAATTTTTCATGTTTTAAGAAGCATTTTTTTTTTAATTTTAAAAACAGCCAAAAGTCATTTACTCACTTCCAAATACAAATTTACAAACCTAAAATAAGAGACTTAGTCTCGGGGGAAAAAAATACCAATACCAAAGAGTGAAGTTCTAGAAGCACAAAACATACAGTTTTATTGTACACAATTATACATCGGTTTAGCCTAAGGCAAGTCTCATTCTCCTAAAAAGAGGGAAGAGCTGGGTGTACTTCCGAGAGTGGAATGCAAGGCCTTCACTGAATCCCCTGCATAATTTTCCCACACTCCTTACACACACAACAAAATTTCAGTTTCCCAGGGTAAACTTACCTTAGAGAAACTAAATTTCTGTGCCATCTGCCCAGAGCTCTTCTCACTTAGCCGTCCAAGGATGCTTTGAGGGTCTTTCAGCAGAACAGAGTGTGAATCCAGAACATGCACACAGCCCTAGAAAACATCAACACAATAAAAACAATGGCATTTTGTCTACTTAATAACAGTAAAATATTAAAGTCTAGTTAAACACAATACTAACCTCAGACTCGTGTTCTTTTTCTGACTGTGTGAATGGTCTTATTCGAAGACAAACTTGGAGGTAATCTTTAGATCCCAAACTGTTGGCCTAAAGAAAAACAAGATTATCTTTAAAATACAGAATAGGGGTTTTCAGAGATCATGTCTTCCAATGGCTGACTGTTCACACAATAACCTGAGATTGTGTAGAATTTCTATGTAGTCACTATCCAGGCTGTATTGATTTTGTTTCTTGAGTTCTTCTGAGGCAGGGCATTACTACTTAGCTAAGCTTGGGCAAAAATTCTTGATTTTTTATTGGGGGTATGGAATTTGTCATAGTTTGCACATGGAGGGCAGAGGACAACCTGGGAGAGTTGGTTTTCTCCTTCTACCATGTGGGTTTGGAATCAAACTCAGGTCATCATCAAGCTTGGCAGCAAGCAAATTCTCCCACAGATCCACCTTGCCAGCACCTTAAATTTATGGTTCTTATATGTCACTCTTCCAGGAGCTGGGATTATAGGCCTGAACCATTAGGCCCAGTTACCACTACATTTTTAACCATATATATATATATATGTGTGTGTGTGTGTGTATTTGTTTTTTTAAGACACTTGAGGACCAAAGGGATGGCTCAGCAGATAAAAGCACTTACTGCTCTTCCAGAGGACCTGAGATCAATTCCTACACTCATCAGGCAGCTCACAAACATAGCTCCAGGAGGTTCCAACACCTCTGACCTTCACCAGCACTGGCATTCATGTGCATATACCCACATATGGATATGCACACATATACACATACTCACAAACAATAATATAAATCCAAAACTGAAAAGACAACAGAAAATCAATTTTTATATATGTGATCTATGTCTGTGAGAGAGAGCGTGAGAGAAAAGATTCTTATATCTATTTCTGTGAAGTTTACAAAAAAAAATGTCTCCTTAAAAATCTAATCTTTATAGAATTCTAGCTTAAATCACCAGTAATCAGAATATGTTATTAATCCATATGCTGGATTCTATTATGCATTTAGAGGTTCAAGGGGCTTTTGCTGTCCTGTTATTATTTTGCTATGTAACATTCCTTTTGCTTTCCTTGAGGAAAGAGATAAGCTTAACTTAGCCAACTCCCCTGTGCCTAAAAGGTCATAGCCTACAGAGGAGAACCCACTATCACCATTTCTCTAAAGCCTTATACGCACAGGTAAGTGCAGCCCTCGCCCCTCATCACAGAAGCTTCTCGTTGCAATAGACAGAGACTATTACAGAAATCCACAACTGGTTAAAATGCAGAGAATGAGTGACCACAGGGTACCCAACCCCAATTCATACATCTAAAACGTAATTCCCTAAACCTAAGGATCAGGAAGCATCTCAGAAGAAGGGGCAAAAATTTTCTAACAGCCAGAGGATCAAGATGCATGCTTGCAATAGTGTCTCCTAGATATGACAAGGAAGCTACACCCATGAAATCTCAACAATACGGCTGGCTAAACAAGACCTGCATGATAAGACTAGGTGACATGCCTACATGGATGGGGAAATTTCACAAAGCCCCATCTCTAGATGAAGAGCTATAGGCAATCAATGGCTGTTGAGAGAAGGAGAATCAATTTTCATCAGGGACAAGCTGCTTAAATAGGTCTAATCCCAAGGGATCAGCCCTAAACACAAGTACATAAACACAAGTACACTGAATGGACTCAGGGGGTTTGGGTGTGTGGGTGTGTGGGTAACAGTAATAATTAAAAAAGAGGTCATGAATATGCGAGGCAGTGGGGGGGGAGACAAGAGGAATTGGAGCGGGGAGGGAGGGGTGGAAATAAATGATGTAAAAACAGTGCTCATGTATGAAATTCTCAAAAATATAAAAAATTTAAAAGAAATGAGCTTATCCATTTTTAAAAGTAATTTTTAAAAAAATTTTAGAGAGCTGGGTGTGGTGGTGAACACCTTTAGTCCCAGTACTCAGAAGGCAGAGGCAGGCAGACATCTGTGAATTGGAGGCCAGCTTGGTCTACATAGCGAGTTCCAGGCCAGCTGGGGCTACAGGGAGACGCTGTCTCAAAAATACCAAAAAATAAATAAATTTTTAAAAAGGAAAACAATTGAAAAACAAAACTTACATCACTCACACAAGAAGAAACTGTGCACAACATTGTATTTATTAAAGAAACCCAACCCAGGCCAGGGATATGACTCAGTAGTAGACCAGTTGCCTAGCATGAAAAAGGTCCTAGGTTTGATCCCCAGAAAAACAAAAATATTAACAATTAAATTAAATCCATTAACAGGGCCAGAGATGTGATTCAGTTCATAGAGTGTTTGCCTAGCATGCCAAAGCCCTGGTAGTTCTATTCCCTACATAATCTGAGTGTGGAGGGTTAGGTATAATACCCTGTCTCAAAAACAACAAAACTAACTGGGAATGGTAGTACGTGCCTATAATCCCAGCACTGCAGATTGGAGGGTGGGATTAAAGTTCCAGGTTAGCCAAGGCCACATAGGGAAGCCCTGCCTCAAAAAAAGAGAACTTAATCCTAACTGTATAGAAGTTCACTGACATGTATAGCCTGGGAGTGGGCAGGTGCTTGAGTGGCTTCCTGAAAACAGTTATGTGAAGTTCTATTTGTAAGCTAATTAAAATAAAGAGGTTTTATTTAAAGGGAGAGAGACAGAGAGACAGGCTTTTTGTTCAGGCACCGCCTCAATGTCACATCACTCCACCACATAGCATGATACAAGTATGCAAAATCAATTGTTTTGTTTTGGTTTTTTTTCCATCTTCACTGGGAACAGTTAGAAATTTATTTTAAAAAGTAATACTGCCAGGCATAATAGTGCCACACCTTTAATCCCAGCACTCAGGAGGCAGAGGCAGGTAGATCTCTGTGAGAGCAAGACTCAAGACCAGGCTAGTTTGAGCTAGCTGGAGCTACAGGGAGACCACGTCTCGAAAGAAAGAAAAGAAAGAAGAAGGAAGGAAGGAAGGAAGGAAGGAAGGAAGGAAGGAAGGAAAACAATGCCATATCATTTACAAGAATATCAAAAATTCTGAAATAAGAACAGATTGGAAAAAGAAGACCCCTATACTGAAAACTACAAAAGATTGCTGGGAGAAATGAAAGGAGATCAAACTAAACAATACAGCAAGCTGTATGGTAGATTCAATATTGTTTTGATGAATTTTTTTTCAAGAGTTATAAATAGATTCAATACATTCTCAACCTAGCATTTTCCCCAGTAAGTTTTTATGAAGAAACTGACAAATTAATTTTTAAATTCACATAAAATGGTAAAGTATAAAGTACATATAACTGGTGAGTAACTCTGAAAAAGAAATAGAGAGCTTAACACGACCTGACTTCAAGATCTATTTTAATGCTACAGGAACTAAAAGTTTCCTACTGTCAGAAAGACCTACTTGTAGTACAAGCACATCTTGGAGGTATTCAAAGTTTTCAGTTCCAGAATACCAAAATAAAGTAAATATGACTATCCCATTCTTTAGTATAACTACCACAGAATAAAATTTTTGAATGTTTTTTTATTTTTTAAATGGCTACCAGTTTAAGACATTCTAAGTTGTTTGAACCTACTATTTGAAAATGAACTGTTACTTATTTCTTTTGGTCAACCCAAGGCTCCTTGGAAAGCTGAGACAAGAATCTGCCTCAAATCTACAAAGCTTATGGAAATTCTGTTCCAGTGACATGCACACAACTTCCTTCAACCACAATAATCAACATAACGCTTTTTTTACACTGTACTTACCTCAGGGTTTGAAGCAACCAAGGAAAATTCACGAGAGAGATCAAGTTTAATGCCATCGAAATTGATTTCTGAAGGCCTTGCAACTGGGTCAGCACTAAAAACATACGAAGGTCTAGGTACTCCATCTTGATTCAAACTAGGTTCCATTCTGTAAGAAGAGCAGCAACTTCTTTAGGCAACCTTAATAAGTTAGCATGGAACCAACCAAAATCTAAGTCTGTAGACTTGGACTTGGAATGTGGTTCAGTTGGTAGACTTCTTGCCTAGCATGTACAAAGGCCCTGGGTCTCATCCCCACCATACACTGGGTGTGGTGGCATAGGCCTATAAGGCCAGAGACAGACTGGAGACAAGAGGACCAGAAGTTCAAGATCATTCTCAGCTAAACATGCAGTGGAAGCCAGTTTAAGCTAAAGAACTTGTCTCAAAAAATAAAATCGCCAGTACAATTCATGACTTTCCCCCCAAACAACTGGACTCCAGAGAAAGAAAACATTGGACTGTTTTATATAAAACATAACAACATATGGAAAAGACCAAAGGCCAAATTTTACTTAGATTCTGAATTTAATAACAGTGAACACCGAATACATTATTTGTATGACCCAATTTATAAATAAATCTTCATCCAAAGACATTTCATGGGCAAATGTTTCAACCAGTAAAGCAAGACAGTATGAAATGTTCACTCTGCCTGAAAACTTCCTCTCAGAAATCAACCAGCAAGAAAACCATGGAGTGAATTATGACCCTATGTTAATTTCAATTACCTAGTGACTTCTGAAGAATGCTATAAACCCAATTTTATCACTTAAGTTATCTGCAAAACTACTTTCAATTTGATTCTTCCCAAGTATAAGTAAAAAGTGAAAAAGCATATGAACGTCACATTTAAAACTATAGAGACTGGAAGGTGCGGTCTGTGGTACAGAACTAGCTTAGGGTGCCTGAGGCTCTGAGTTCCATCGGCACGACCCAAAAAAACAAATCAATCGCTACCTGACACATCCTAAGTCTTAAACTGAATAGGGAATAATGCATCATTGAACTATTAAAGTTGAATTAAACATCACTAAAAGGTAAGCGTGACAAAAAAATTAGCTTGAACTACTCTGTTCTGCAACAAGATTCTAAAACACTCTACAGTAACGTTACCCATCCACATTTACACAGCAGGAAGGTCATTAGCTCAAAAGCACTTTATTCATAAGCCAACAAAAGAACCAACTGAAATTTGGACACTTCCGTCTGCTATATAAGTTTATTTTTCAACCATTTAGAACGGTGTGATACAACTCACCGGGCACCGCCCAGAAAGGGACCATGTCACCTGAGCCAACTGCTCTCCTGCAGGGTTCAGGAAGCTAGGTTTGGCAAAAGTCGGCTTCTGGACAACAGAACCACGTTAATAAACGATTGCCAGTGTGGACTTGGCATGCCAGCAACGCTGCTAACAGCCTTGCACATCCCCAGTCTTCACAGGCGCCCAGAGCCCTTTTCCTGCCCTTTAAATCATTAGTGTCTGTGAATCTAAGTGCATCTCCTTTAATAGACGAGGAATCCGAGGCCCAGAGACATCATCTGGTCCAGCGTGTCGGACTACCCAGCCTGCGACTAGGTGCTACGGCTCAGCAACCCAGCCCCGGACCAGCGGCGTCCTCAGCCCCCTCCACGCGGGCACGGCCGCGGCGTCGCAGCCTCAGGCCTGCCAGTACCAGTCACCACCCTCCGCACCATCGCCCGGACTCCTCACCTGCAGCGTCAACCGGCCAACCGCGGCCAAGCAGCACAGAGACCTCTCGGTTTTCAAATTTAAACAATGGCGGCCAGGGCAGCGCACTGAACGCTGGGAGTGGGAGGGGCTTGCGGGGCTCCCGGGGAACGCGACTGGAGAGCGCCAGGGACTGTCCCAGAGCTTCCCGGAAGAAGCTTTCAAATCTGGGGGCGGGACCTGGCGCGCTGGGAGACCAATGGGCAGCGGCAGGCTCAAGGGTCGCCCGCTTCCCAGGGGCTCGCTCTCCCCGGGGCTCCGCTGGCGGCGACAGGTGAGACCCTTCATTCGCGGGGGCGCGGCTCTCGGATTGCGTCCTTAAGACAGACAGGTGACGGCCGCCAGCTGAGGCCGCTGCCGCCGCCCCGAGTCCCGCGACACCCGGAGCGGGTGTTAGTCACCTCCGGGTCCTGTCCCTCCGGGGCCGGAAAGGACTCGGCGACCCGCGATCGGGGTCACTTCCCTTCCTGTCGTCTACAGCGGCCCTCGTGGACAAAGCAGATTTTTCCCCAGAATATACTTTTTATTTTTTGGCTTTTATGAAAGTATAAAGCAGCTAGCGCTGCAAGGCGAGTTGCTGTGACAGTTTTATCATAGGCAAGGTCTTTGCAGTGCCCAAAATGTAAGTGCCCGTGCATCCTTCTCTGCTTCTTTTAAAGTAATCCTCTTTGTTTGCGTGTGGTACTAATTTACTAATACGTTCCTATGACAAGGATTTACTGTTTTGGCTGTCTCTCCTTGCTAGACTTTCAAGAAAAATAATTGCTAGCGTAAAATGAGCATTTAACCTTATGCCCCTCGTGGCACTAAGGTTTTAAAATGGATTGTCTCATTGGTCCAGAGAAAAACCCTTTAAGGTAGGTATTGCTATCGTCCCATTTTCTACAGCTAAGGAAACTTAAGTTCACAAGATGAAGTAAAGGGCAGCAATGCAAATGGAGCCGTAATTTAAATTCAGCTGAAGAATTTCATGACCCTTCTTACGCGTGGTCATATAAGCTGCTGCTATTTCACTTGATTAGAAGCATTTTTGGAACACTTGGTTGACAAGCTTACTGTCTTCCGCCCCTTACACGCCCATCATCTATCCTCACTACTGAGGTGCGTTCTATTTGTTTTCTTTCCCCCACCAAAAAAAAAAAAAAAAAAAAAAAATCAAGAATTTGAGGGTTACTAGTTTGGAATAGAGAAGTGGATACAAAGCCGGAAGGGAAAGTGAACAAAGAAATATAGATATAAAAAGAAAAAGCGGAGGGGAGATAAAATAGAAACTTTTTTCTTTCCAGGCTGGAATTTTTTTTTTCTAAAGGTTCTTTCTGTATAGCCTAGGCTGTCCTAAAACCTCAAATCTTTCTACCTCAGCCTCTCTCCAATGCTGAGACTCTAGGTGTGTACCACCACACTCCTGCTGAGCTTCATTTAATGGGTCCTATATTAATTTGCCTTGCTCCTTCAGATAGGTCCATCCTTGAATCCGTGTTTTTCCATCATAACTCACAGTGTCTTTTTGCTTTTGTTCTTTCCCACTAATTTCCAGCTCTTGAGATGTTCAAGTGCCTTTTTTTTTTTTTTTTTTTTTTTTTTTTTAATACTGAGTCTCACTATGTAGCTCTGGCTATCCTGGAACTCACAGAGATCCATCTGCCTCTGGCATGCACCACACCCAACCTACATTTATTTATTGGTTTGCAAGCATTTGTTAAAAATCTACAATATACTAGGGGAAAAAAGAGTAGAGGTGGATGAGCACAAAGACAACTCTAAAGGGACTTAAATTATAATGGGGATGCAGTCAAGTTAGAAAGCAAATAGGGGCTGGAGAGATGGCTCAGCGGTTAAGAGCACTGACTGTTCTTGCAGAACATCCAGGTTTGAATCCCAGCATCCATATGGTGGCTAACTCAAGTTCCACCGGGTCTGACTCCCTCTTCTGTTCTCTCTGGGCACTGCACAACACTGGTGCACCTACATACATGCAGGCATAACAGTCATATACATAAAAAAATAATAAAAAGGATTAGGTGCAGGCCTTTAAGTCCAGCACTTGGATGGCCAAGGCAGTAGGATCTTTGTGAATTTGAGGCCAGCCTAGTCTGCATAGTGAGTTCCACATCAACCAGGGGTATGTAGTGCATTTAAGAAAAAAGTTTAAGAAATTACAACAATACTGAGTCATTCAAAGGAAATTGTCTTAGAGTTCTAAGATTATCACAGGGAAACCTGAGCAGATTTTGATCTGTATCTTCAAGGATCATTACCAATTAACTAGGTAAGAGATATGAACATTCCTAGCAAAGGAAACATCTTGGAGGCACAAGTGGCAGGGATAGAACAAAATCCAATGGATTTCTTTTTATTTGATCCCAACTCCCAGCAGCATTTCACAGTCAAATATGTTACCCATTTAAATGTTTACCCTTGAATCATTCTTCCTTGGGCGACTGGGTCACCACTCTCCCTTTGTACTCCAAATTACGGCCACACAGTCTCCTTCCTCTTTATCCAAACTCTAAATTAAAGGAATAGTGATCCCTAAGCTCCATCCCCATTTTCTCTCCCGCCCAGTTTTCTTGACAATTTCATCAACTCTTATGGAGTTCAACGGTTTTATACGGCTGACAAAGTCTTTATTCTCCCTAGACCTCACACAGAGTCTAATTACATGGAAATATTCTGCTGCCCACTTAACATCTTCAGTTGAGTATCTGACAGATTCTCTAACATAACGTTTTCAGTGTGGGACTCTGGATTTTTCACTATGAAACCCAAATCCTATTTCTCCTCAATGTCTTCCCTCTCACTAAATGACACTACCCATTCATCACTGAATCCTTTCCCTCACTCGTCCTGTTCATAAACAGTTGTACTCTGTGGTGTTTTATGAGACAAGGTCTCACTCTGTAGCCCAGGCTGGCCTGGAACTCAACAATAGTCTTCCTGCCTCAGACCCCCAAGTACTAGAATTACAGGTATGAGACACCAAGCCCAACTATTTTGGATCTCTTAAGGGAAATACTCTTCCCTTTTCATTCCCCAGACTATCAGTGCCTCCCACTGGTCTCCCTGCTTTGGGTCTTGTCATTCTGTACATTATTCATCATAGGGCTACCAAACCAAGTTTGAATGTGAATGGTCATATCACCACCTTGTTTAAAGCCTTTAAATGACTCTTTATAAATCAGTGTTATTTAGTAAGATACAGTAGTCCCCCTTACTCATTTTCACTTTCCAAAGATTAAGTTACCCAGGTTCATACTCTTTATGCTCAATCATACTTTTACGTGGTTGTCCATATAGTCCTCATACGTACACAGTGAAATCTCCATAAATACTTAAAAGGGCTCAGTGACCTAAAATAGCTATACTTAAGCAAGCTTGAAGAAAGGTAAGCAAGAACTCATCTTTGCCTAGAAGTATAGCACATCCCACGAGGACAGAAGCTACAGAGCTTGGGAGCCTTCCAGATCTCAACCCATATATCTTCATCCACCTGCTTATTTGTATTCTTAGAAATAGCCTTTATAATAAATCAGTAAATGGATATCTTTGAGTTCTGTGAGTGGCACTAGCAAAATCAGTCACACGTGAAGGAATTGTATGAACCCCAATTGTAACTTGTCAGCCAGATGTTCCGGAGACCAAACATACAACTTGGTCTGGAGTTGGGGCAGTCTGGTGGAGTAGAGTACTCAGCCTGGGGTATCTGGAAGATCTAGGAAGATAGTGTCAGAATTTAATCAAAGAATGACCAAATGGAGTCCACTGTGGAATTGATGACTTGCAAGGGAGAAAAAAATCCTTACACATTTTAAGGACTACAGAAGTGATCTGTGTTGTGAGCACATAGGAGAAATAGGCTGTTTGTTTTAAAAGAAAAAGCAATATATTTTGGCCAGAAAGTTGTTGGAAATCAGTGCATTAACACTATCTCAAAGAAACCCTACAGATTATTTCTTAATTATAAAGAGAAAATTAATTTTATAATGAAAAGATTTATTAAACATACCTTAACCAAGTGAAAATATTTGTGCCAGAAATATTTGGCATGAACCTAATCAAGAAAAATAATCTGGAGAAGAGAAAAAAAAACAACGTAGAACATTCTACATGACAACAAACATCAGCTCTTCAAAACTATGTCAAACAGGAAAAACAAAATAAGTGGAAGATTCTTTACTCCAGAAGAAAAACCTAAGACTCATCAGTCTTAACTGGGTCACAGATTTACACGTGAAAGATTCTTTACTCAGGAGGAAAAACCTGAATGAAACTCATGAGTCTTCATTGGTTTACTGATTAAATAAATAAATAAATAAATAAATAAAGCAACTGCCAAAAACATTTCATAAACTGGAAAAATTTAAATATGGAGTATAAAATTGAACTAGTTTTAAGTAGTGTATATGATGAATTTATGATTGCATAAAATTCTTTATTTTTTAATGTACTTGCTTATCTGTTTAGCAGAAGTATCACAAAACCAAAATAAAGAGCAAATGTGGGAAAATATTAATAATTAGTGAATCTAGGTGAAAAGCATATTGGTGTGCATTGTACTACTTCAACTCGTTTTTTTTAATTTATTATTATTATTTTATGTGTATGCGTGTATTGCCTGCATGTAGGTAAGTGCACCCGTGTCGTGCAATGCCCACGGAGGTCAGAAGAGACTGTCAGATCCCCTGAAATTGGAGTTACAGACAGTTGTTAGTTGTCATGTGGGTGCTGGGATTTGAACCTGGGTCCTCTGCAAGAACAGCCAGTGTTGTTAACTGCTGAGCCATCTCTTCAGCCCCAACTTTAGAATTTTCTGAAAGAAGGTGGGGGAGAAAAGAGTAAGATTCTAATCTTTACTATAGCCCACCAGACCTTGCATAATCAGGCACCCTCCAACCTCACTCACTTGTCAGTTTGTGTAGTCAGTTTGACTCCTCTGGGTCCCTCAACCACCAGGTTCTTTCCAACATGTACAATAATATCCTCTTTACCTGAATTCTCCTTTCCCTACTCAATAGCTCATCTCACTTCATTTTCTCATAAAAAAATAAAATCACCTTCTTAGATAACACTCTACTGCCTTATCTCAAGTAGACCCTCTTTTTTGTTTTTTGGATTTTTTTTTCTGTGCTTTATTTTGTTTTGTTTTGTTTTTCTGACACAGGGTCTCCCTGTAACCCTGCATGACCCACAACTCACTGTGATATCTACGTGCCTCTGCCTCCCTCCCATGGAGATCAAAGACCTGTGCCACCAGGCCTAGCTCAACGACCCTTTCTTTATTTGCAGGTTTAATTCTATTTTGTACTTTAGTACTTTTGTTTAGTACTATTTTGTACTTTAGTTCTTGTTGCTATTCCCTTTCACTTAAATGTGTTTCTCTTGGGCACTCGTATCCTCAAGGACATGGCAACCAAATATTTGTTCATCAGTGATGAGGGCTGATTTGGCAGCAGTAGAGACTAGAAATGCACAAGTGAATCTCAAAGTCTGAGACCAGGCCAGGCCCCCATAAGCTTTCATTAGCCATGTTACTGGTTTGGATTTTATGAAATGCTACTGGACTGTTTTAAAGATGAACACAGTAGAATCCACTCTGTGTCTCTCTTTTGAAAAGGTTAATTTCCTGTAGAAGAAATTAGAAACCGCCAAGAAAGATGCTGTTGAACCAGTTAGAAGGCTATTACAGCTGCCCCATTAAGAGATGATGATAATGTGAATTTGGGAGATAGCAGAGAAGATGCAGAAAAGAAGACAGATTGTAAAGGTATTCTTATATTTTGCTTTCCAGTACCAGTCACTAAGTTTTATCTTAGAGACACAAGTCTATGTGATACAGAAGGGCTGGTGATCTTGTCCCCATTTCAAAGAATTTTTAGAGCTATTTTATTATTTTTATTTTATGTGTATGAGTATATTGCCTGGATGTGTGTAAGTGCACCTGTGTAGTACAATGCCCTCAGAGGTCAGGAGAGGGCATCAGATCTCCTGGAACTAGAGTCACAGATGGTTGTTAGCTACCATGTGGGTGCCAGGAATCGAACCCAGGTCTCTCTGCAAGAGCAGCCAGTGCTCTTAACCACTGAGCCATCTCTCCTGCCCCAACCATTTCAAAGAATGGTTTTTCTGTGCCCTTAAGTAAACATTAGCATAAAATGAAAAAATCAGTGAGTTAAGCCCAGCTGATCTCTTGCTGTGGTCACAGCTTCTATTAGTACAGGCTTACCTCCAAGATAGTGCAGATTCAGTTCCAGACCACTACAAAAAAATGAGTGTATAATAAAGGGAGTCAGGATCGTTTTGGGTTCTCAACACATATAAAAGTTATATTTACAGTATACTGTAGTCTCTTCAGTATGTAGTAACACCTTGCTGGATGTGGTGGCACATACCTGTAATCCCAGTACTTTGGAGATGAAAGCTGGAGAATCAGGAGTTCAATGGCAGCCTGGACTATATGAGATTCAAATGTGGGGACAGAGTGAGCTGCCAGAAAGATGACTTGGAGGTTCATAGTACTTGCTGCTCTTGTAGAGGACCTGGTTCCCAGCACCCACTTAGCAACTTACAACCATCCATAACTCCAGTTCTGAAGCTCTCTTCTGGCCTCCGGGGGCACTGCATCCATATGGTACACATGCAGGCAAAACGTTCATATACATAAAATGGGGGCTAGAGAGATGGCTCGGTGGTTAAGAGCAGCTATTGCTCTTGCAGAGGATCTGAATTAAGTTCCCAATACCTATATTAGGCAGTTCCTAACTGCCTGTAACTTCAGCTCCAGGAGTATCTGACATCTGTGGCTTCTTCAGGCACCCCCCCCCCGTACATGTAAATACACACAAAATCACATACATACACAGTAATTTAAAATAAATTTTTAAAAAAATGGGTTGGAGTGATGGCTCTGTGGTTAGGAACACTTGTGGTTCTTGCAGAAGACCCAGGTTTGGTTCTCAACACCCACATGTTGGCTCACAACTGACTAACTCCAGTTCCAGGGGATCTGGCAGTTTCTGGCCTCTGCAGCTGTTACACATATATTCTTGTGGGTAAACACTCACATGTACATTAAATAAAAACAAATCTTTTCAAAAATACTTTATTGCTTAAAAAAAAGTTACCAGTCCTTGCCTTCAAAGAGTCATAATCTTTTTGCTAGTAAGCAATTTTGCTTTGCTGTTCATGTTTGCTGATTAATTGGGGTGGTTGCTGACTGGAGCAGCTGTGATAATTTCTTAAAATAAGACAGCAATGAAATTTTTATATTAATTTGCTCATACTTTCATGAAAGATTTCTTTTGTATGAAGTGCTTTTAATAATAGCACTTAATAAGAAAACTTCTATAAAAATTAGAGTCCATTTTCTTTTTTAATGTATTTTGGGCCTATAGATAAGGGTATTTATTTATTTTGTGTATATGTGCATGTGTGTGCATGGTATTTATACATGTTCGTGGTATATATCTGTCATGTACCTGCACATGTGTGTGTGGGTACACACACCCGTACACATGCTTATAGGCCAGAGGAGGACATTGGGTACCCTGCTCTGTCACTCTGCCTAATTCACTTGAGACAGGGTCTCTCACTGAACCTGGAGCCAGACTAGCAGCCAGCAATTCCCAGTGACCCTCCTGTCTCTGTCCTCCCCTCACCATTGGTATTACAGACAGGTGGGACTATACCCAGCTTTTAAAATTTTTTCTGGGGACTTGAACTCGGGTTATCATGCTTGCATAGTTTACCTGTAGAATCATCTTCCCAGGCCCTAGAGTAAAATTTCTTAAACCTGTTACTGCTTTATGAACTTAAGTTTATAAACATATTAGAATATGAATTATAATTCCTTTGTGGGTATTTCAATAATTTTTACAGCATCTTTCCCAGGAGTAGATCCCATCTCAAGAAGCCACTTTCTTTGCTTGTCCATAAGAACGAACTTACCCTACAGTTCTGTCATGAGATTGAAGCAGTTTGGTCACATTTCAGGGTCTACTTCTAACTCTGTTTCTTGGCACTTCCTCCACATTTGTAGTTGCTTCTTTTACTGAAGTCTTGAACTTTCAAAGTCATGAGAGTTAAAATCAGCTGTTTCCAAACTCCCCTTAACTTTGATTCCCATGAATTACAGATATTCCTTTTTTTAAAATTTATTTATATTTTTTACTTTATGTGTATTGCCTGCATGTGCACCAGTGTCATGAAATGCCTGCAGAGGCCAGAAGAGGGCACTGAATCCCCTGAACTGGAATTATGAAAGGTTGTTAGCCACCATGAAGGTACTGGAAATTGAACCCAGGTCCTCTGTAGGAGCAGCCAGTGCTCTTAACTATTGAGTCATCTTTCCAACCCCTAAATCACAGATATTCTTAATGGCAGGTGGAATGTTGAACTCTTTTAAGAAGATTTTCAATTTACTTTGCCCAGATCCAGCAAAAAAATCACTATCTATGGCATATACAGACTTGTGAAATACATTTATTTTCTTTTTAGATGGAATCACACCATGTATCCCTGGCTGACCCGGAACTCACTAAGTAGACCAGGCTGCCCTGGAAATCATAAAGATTCACCTACCTCTGCCTCCTGATTCTTGGATTGAAGATGTGTACCACCATGTCCAGCCTGAAATACATTTCTTAAATGGTAAGACTTAAAAGATGAAATTACACCTTGATCATTGCACTAGAGAATGGATATTATATTACCAGACTTGAAAACATTAATCTGACATATCTTTATCAGTGGTCTGGGGAAACCAGGTAAATTGTCAGTGAAAAACCACAGCTGAAAAGTAATTTTTTTTTCCTTTTTCTTTATTCCCTACTCCTCTCCTATGAAAAAAAAATTTTTTTCAAAGATGTCGGCCTAGGAATGTAAGTCTCAATAGTGAAAATAAAACATTCAGTAAACAGATGTACTGCCATCCAGGCTTTATAGCTCCAGTAACAGCCCTTGCAGAGTAGATTGAATCTAATTCTTAAGGGGGTTGGTATTTTCAGAATGGCAAATGAGATTTCATTTCAATGTAAAGTCACTGCCTTCATTAGTACCCTACAAGAGAATCAGCCTGTCCTTTGAAGCTTTTAAGCCAGACATTGACTTATTTGTAGCAGAGAAAGTCCTAAATGGCATCTTCCAGTAGAGGGCTGTTTTGTCTCTACTGAGAACCACTGTTTATCATAGCCACTTTCATTGGTGATAAGTCTGTCAGTGTTTCTGCATCAGCACTCGCTATTTTACCTTTCACTAGTTACACAGATGGCACCTTTTCTTAAACTTCATAGACCACTCTTTGTTAGCTTCAGACTGCTCCATTCCAGCTTCCTCTCCTCTCAACTTTCATAGAATGGTCGAGTTAGAACCTTGCTTAGGATTAGGCTTTGATTTTAGGGAATGTTATGGCTGGTTTAATCTTCTTTCCAGACCTTTAAACCTTCACTGCATCTTCGAAAAGACTGTTTACTTTGTAAATTTTATTTAGCTTATTTTTATGTGTATGAGTGTTGTATGTGCATGTATATAAGTACACTGGTGTCATACAATGCCCATGGAGGTCAGAAAAGAACATGAGATCCCCTGGAACTTGAATTAGGAATGGTTGTTAGTCACCATGTAGGTGCTGGGAACTGAACCTCCTCAGTCCTCTGCAAGAACAGCCAGTGTTCTTAACCACTGGGCCATCTCTCCAGTCCCTTTGTTCTCTTATTTTTTATCACTTTGTACTCGTGATGTAGCCCGGGTTAGCCTCAGATTCTCCATCCTTCTGCCTCAGACTCCAAAGTGCTGGGATTATAATGTGCCACCACATACAAAGTGTCATTTTTAATTTTTTTCAAGAACTTATGCTTTGCATTCACAAGTTGACTGAGTAGTGCAAGGGTCCTAGCTTTCAGCCTATCTGCTTGTTTGTTTGTTTGCTTGTTTGTTTGTTTGTTTGTTTTGATAGGGTCTCCCTAGTCCCAGTCTGCCTGGAATTCACTATGTAGACCAGCTTGGCCTCCATCTCACAGAGATCTACCTGCCTCCGCCTCCTGAAGGCTGGGATTAAAGGCATGGGCCACCTGGTCTTTGCCTTCCTCACTAAACTTAAATCACTTCTGAATTTTAATTTAATGTGAAAAATATCTGAATACTTGGATGCCATTGTAGAGTTATTAGTTGGCCTAATTTCGATATTGTTGTGTCTCTGAAAATAGGAAAGCCTGAGGAGAGGGGGAGACAGGGAACAAGCAGTTAGTAGAGCAGTCAGAATACATACATTTATTGATTGAGTTTGCCATCTATGTGGGCAAGGTTTGTCATGCACTAAAACTAATGTTACACTAATGATCACATGATGCTTCATAAGTCACTATAATAGATAAAATAATAATACAAATTTGAAATAGTAGAAAGACTGTATCTATATAGTTGCTTGACACAGGGTTGCCACAGGCCTTCAATTTATTTAATAAAACAAAACAAAACAGTATCTGTGAAATATAGTAAGAAAACACATAATATATGAGACATACCTATAATAGCTGATTTTTCTGAGCAATTTATCCTCATTTTAATCTAAACACTCTGTGGTGTAATTTGTTATTATCATCCCCACTCAACAGAGGAAGAAACTAGGACATAAAGCTATTAAGGAATAATAAATATATCTACTGCACAGCAGTGCTAAGATGAAATTAGGTAATATCATAAAGTACTTATAAAAATACATGACATTTTAAAAAATAATAACTTGCTTAAATTTGTTTAATTAGTAGTAAGTGAGGTTGGGATCTGTTTGGTCTGGCCTCAGTGCCTATAAACTGGTTACTGCATTCTCCTGCAATTCAACCTCGAATCTTAATGCCCTTGGAATTCAGTTAAGACTGAATGCTAAACTCCTGGTGCAAGGCCATTTCCAGTAACAGGACTAAAGTAAAGGTTTTCATTCTAATAATTGTATACAAAATTCTAATAACAGGTTCAACAAAAATATATGAAGTATCTTATCTATTTATGCCTAAAAAGCCTCTAAACCTCCCTTTCTTGACTGGGCTTTCTAGAGAGAAATCATCTCTAATGCTTTAAAGCACATGTTTTATTTATTACATATTAATTTCTCTTCTGTGCATCCAGAATTGTTTTAGTTTTGAACCATCCTTCAAAAACAATCACACATATTTTGTTGTTGTTGTTCTGGAGAACCTCAGTGCATAGTCCTCAGTGCATATGACAAATGCTGTTCTGGGAGCACACAGAGATTCCTGGGAGTAGAGGGAGGATAACAAAAGAGCTAGACTTGAAGTCAGACTCGAGTTTGAATATGAGCTCAGCCACTTAAAGAGAGGGTCCCCAGGAAGAACATACCATTTCTCCAAGCCTCATAAAGTTCTTATGAGGATTAAAATAGCATACGTGGATTATTTACTACAGTCTTTGTTTATAGTGTGTTTCATAGTCATGATTATTTTTATAGTCTGTTTTTTCATTATGTCACTAGAATGTAAGCTGCTGAGTACCTGTCTTGGACCACTATAGCGCTATCATCTAAATCAGTACTTTGCACATAGCAGGAATATAGATACTATTTTTTCATTAATAGCAACTTATCAGGAAAAAATTTTTGAAGTAGTGTGAGATCACAATGAATAATGGAATTTGTCATTGAATGACAAGAAGAGGCCATTCTAAGCAATGAAAAGGTATGAAGGTATCAGAAAAAAAAATGAGCAGCTGGACAAAGAGGAGCTGGACTCCTGTAAACCAGCATTTTGGAGGCAGAGGCAGAATAGCCTCAAGTTCAAGGCTAACCTGGTCTACACAGTGAATTCCAGGCTGTTGTCAAGGGGGTGGGGGGGTCCAAAAGCAAATGCATTACAAACTTCAGCATGACTGTAAGTATAACTAAAGAGGGTAATGACAAGAGATGACAACATAGGCATAGGCTAGCTCCTAAAGGGCCTCTATGACACTTTAGTGTTAGAATTAAACTGTGTAAGGGAGCCTGTACCCAGTAGAAGTATGGGGGGAAAGTAGAAGAGAAGCAGCAGGAAGTGCTGTATCTATAGTACCTTGATTTTTTAAGAGAGAGTCAAGAGATAAAGAAACATGATAGAGAATTTTAATTATACTGCCTAAAGGTTTAAAGGTAATTAATGGGGGTAGGTAGTAGCCATTCCTTGAGCTGAATGTTTATCTGTTAAAAGAGCATGATGGTATACCAACTGTAGTCCCAGCCAGAAACTGAGGCAGGTAGATCTTGAGTTCAAGATCAGCCTAAAGCCAGGTGTGGTGGCGCATGCCTTTAATCCCAGGAGACAGAGGCAGGGGAATTTCTGTGAGATCTAGGCCAACCTGGCTTACATATTGCATTCCAGTCCAGCTGGGGTTATAGGAAGACCCTGACTCAAATCAAACAAATAAGATCAGTCGAGACTTCCTAGGGAAACCCTAGAGTGTTTGTTTTATTTTTTCTGTTTTGTTTTAGTATGTGGAAAAATGCTTTTCTTAGATTCTGTGTGAGTATGTATCTGTTTGTATGTATATGTGTACAAGAGAGACAGAGAAATGGGGGGAGTACATGCCAAGGTACACATGTAGAGGTCAGAAGGCATAGAAGTCAGTTCTTCCCTTCCAC